CCCTGCTCTTAACGCTATGCATCATTGATAAAAAAATCGTCTTTCTTTGCAAAATACATTAAAATCTATCATAAAAATTTAGTTTTCTAAGGCTTAAAAGTTGCCACTGTCATCGTGCTTATCTTTGCTGAAACTTGCAAAGGAATTAGAGCCTACTTATTTCCATTTAATATATTTTTTAAATTCTTAGAACTTTCTTTTAAGAATCACATTGAAGAGATAAACTGCTTATTTTTCCATGAATAATACACCAGCCTTTAGAAATAACTGATTATCCAGAATGGATAAAGGCTAATTGCTACAATATTAAATATTGGATTGGCACCGATATTTAGCGTTTCCAAAAAATAGATGATCAGACCGATATTTTTTAAAAAACCAACCGGGGTAATTCCATACCAAATCGATAACTTTTCGGCCCGACCTTTTTAATTTCGATAAAATTTTGTATGCTGAGAGAATATCATTTGAAAGCATCGAATCCAAAATTTTAGCTTCCTAGTACTCATAGTTCCAGAGATATCAATGGTCAAAAGTGCCAAAAATGAATACGATTTTTTGAAACTGAGATAAGTTAAAAAATAATGATTTTAAAAATATAAGTTATATGTCATTTTGTAACTCTATTAAAGGCCTTTTATTAAATATTAAGGATTTCTTTGAAATAACATTGTTACGGTTTTTATTTACCTTATAAATTTTAAAAATAAAAATTCCAGGTGTTTCGCTTTCCATATTTTTTTGAATTTAATATTTTCTTATTCTCTAACCTTATATCTATTCATAAAAAAAATTTAAACTTGGGACAGCCATGGGTTTTTTAGTTATTACAATTTAAAAAATAAAAAAATAAATATTTTTTTCAAAAATAGATGGCGCTCCTTTATAAAATAACGTGTTTTGTTATAATTATTATTTTTTAAAACTTTTTTTCATTTTTAAACATAAATAATAAGATTTTCCAGCATTAATATCATGAAATGAGATTATTTAGCTGCGGTTATAATCATTTTTTTTTGTAAAAAATTTTAATTAAATTATTTTATAAATTTTTAAGATATATAGGATAAATTAAAATTCATGAAAGATATTACCTATTTTCGGTTTTTCATTAAATTTAGTTTTTTTGACGCCATGAAAATTTCGTTTTGCGATAAATTATATGTACGCCCAGTAGCCGTTGATGGGCTAACTATTGTTAAAATATTATTTTTTGGTATGAAAAGGATATTTTGTGCAGCTGGATAAACAAAAGAATTTGCTGGTCCTTTAGGGTGAAGAAAATTATTTTTAACTTCATCTCGAATTACATTCACATCTTGTACAAATCCTAACCACCAATCGTTTTCATATGCACATGTTACATATCCTCTAATCTCATCGAATATCAGATCCTCAATCAAATATATATTGACATTCGTTGCAGTCACCAAAATAACAGGTGGGTAACGGGGGATTGCAAATCATTCTGCCTATAACATCTCTATAAGTTGTTAATGTATCCTCAACATTTTTAGTCAATGTTGCTAATTCACAGCTTAAAATCATAAGTTTAATATTCTGATGTATGCTACAAACGCATACACTATGTGTTCCGCTAGCCCCTGCTAATATACAATTTTTTGGTCTTAAGCTAGCAAATTTCGAAAATCCAATTGTTAAGTTTGAATTACTCGCCTTAAAATAATTATATAATTCTTTCAAATTATTAAGAACTAACCTTTTTTGAGCGTTCACTCGTTCCCCCTTTTCAATGATAGATATGCAATCTTTTTTTCCTGGTAATATCTACTAACTTTATCAATGCAAAAAATTTTTAAACAATATCAACTGTTTTTTGATTGAGATATTTTGCAGGCTTTCGATTTGGAGTTGAAAGACTCCCCTTTTCTTCTAAAATGATTTTGGAATTATATGCCATATGATATGTAGCGTTTTTCGATATTTTTTTGTGATAACCTTTTACGGCATTTATCACAAATATAATGTTCCGCCTCAATGTTTGGATATTGTGTCATCCACGTCATGACTTTGCGCAGGTTCTTTTTATAATTAAAGTATTTAGATTCTTTAAAAGGATTTACGCATTTATATTTATACATTATAAATAATTTTAAGAAGAAAAATAATTAATATCAAATTATTTGTAAAATAAAAATTAATTAATATTAGAGCAGGTACATGAAAACTAGCTTTTATCTTTCAACAATTAATTATTATATTTTCTTGTATGAGATATCGGAATCTTAACCATGTTTTTAGGTAATTTAATCATTTATTATAAAAACTATTTACAAGTTATCAATATAGTAATAATAATAAGTGATCTGCATCCAGCCTAATTTTTCAAGCCCGGCCCGGCCCGAAATTTTTTTTACCCGGCCCCGAATTTATTTAAATATAGGAATTAATTTTTATAATTACTCAAAATAAAAGACATATGTTATATGTCGTTTAGTTTCAATAAATAAAATCAAATATTTTTATTTTACATAAAAAATTCAATATAAAATTGATAAATTTATATATATTTAAAAAAGTTTCCAAGGTCCGACCCGACCCAGCCCGAATTTTTTTCAAAATATTAGCCCGGCCCGAATCCGATTATTTTAAATAGAATTAGGCACAAAGCCCGTCCGGGCCGGGCCTAACTTTGCAAATCTCTAAAAATAAGTAAGCCTATGAAACGATCTATATAATATTTTTTCCTGATATTAATGCTGGAAAATCTTATTATTTATGTTTAAAAGTGAAAAAAATAATAATTATAACAAAATACGTTATTTTATAAAGGAGCGCCATCTATTTTTGAAAATAATATTTATTTTTTGATTTTTTAAATCGTAATAACTAAAAAACCCATGGCTGTCCCAAGTTTAAATTTTTTTTATGAATAGATATAAGGTTGGAGAATAAGAAAATATTAAATTCAAAAAAATTTGGAAAGCGAAACACCTGGAATTTTTATGTTTAAAATTTATAACATAAATAAAAACCGCAACAATATTATTTCAAAAAAATCTTTAATATTTAATAAAAGGCCTTTAATAGAGTTACAAAATTACATATAACTTATATTTTTAAAATCATTATTTTTTTTTACCTTATCTCAATTTCAAAAAATCGTATTTTTCGAAAAAAGGTCATTTTTGGCACTTTTGACCATTGATATCTCTGGAATTATGAGTACTAGGAAGCTAAAATTTTGGATTCGATGCTTTCAAATGATATTCTCTAAGCATACAAAATTTTATCGAAATTAAAAAGGTCGGGCCGAAAAGTTATCGATTTGGTATGGAATTACCCCAATATTTTTTCTGTTTTTGGTAATAGTATGATTGTAATATATAATTTTATAGATAATTCCATAATAATAAACTAATGAAAGGAACTAAAATACAATTTATTTGTTGTAATGTTAAAAATAGTTTAAAATTTTATAATCTTATGTTATATTATCTACAAGAAAAGGATTTTAAAATATCTAACGAGTCATAATCAGCTAGTGTTGTTAAACGGCTCACTTTAGCCAATTTCTAAAAACGGTTAACTCAGCATTTTCGCCAAAATACTCAAAATTATTTATTTTGCCACATATTTCGAGGCTTAAGTAAAAATATTATAGCCATTTATCCATAAACATGGCAAATATTTTAAATGAAATTAACTTTTGGAGAATAAAAAAAATAAAATAAACTTAATCATTCATGAAAGTTAGTTGATTTCTTTTAAAATAGGAAATACATATATTTTTATATTCAAGAATAACTGGTAAGTATAAATATCGAATTGGTTTTTTTGGTAATATCAGAAAATATCAGATCAATGAATTTTGGATTGGCACAACCCTAATTCTATGTTTGCTCTTTGCCATGCTAAAATCCTGCTTATATTCTAGTATATGTAATTGTGTGGTCATCATTAAGACTTGCTAAAATTCTTAGGCATTCTTAAGCTGTTATGTTTCTGAAGGGATAAAATATCTATTCATTTTATGGCTATTTTAAAGTTTTAAACAGTCAGGAGTTCTCCTATTTGTATTCCTAATATTTAGATTCATATATAATTTCTTACTTTTTTAAAAAATATTTTTTTATTAAACAAAATTAAATCAATATATTTTAAATAATTGTGATTTGCAAATAAACTATACATGTAAGAAAGGATTAGAAATAATATTTTAAAGAATGCATTAAATATTTGGGAATGCACTATGGAAGATGTTATGCTAGAATAGTACATTTCTGTGTCAGGTGAATATTTTTTTATTGCAACAATTTGTTGCCCATAAAATTATATTGGTTATTTCATGATTATATATAGTTTTAATTTTGAAGAAAGGAAAACAAAGTAATTGATGATTACATATATATTTTTATTGACTATGATCCTCCTTTAAGACTAAAATGTAAACTGTTGACTAATTGAGTTGTATAATGGTTCTGATTGAACCATTGATTTTCAAGAATGTGGGTGTCTGTTTTAGCAATAAAAATGGTATTAGATATCTCAACAAGTTACTTTTAAGTGTGATCAAATTAAAATGGGTTAAATTTAATAGGTATTCTTTTATGTAATGTTTTAAACACATATATTCACTCATATTACAAGCAAGATTTTTTTAAAAATTGCATTTATTTTTAGGAAAAGGGTGGGGGGGGGGGGTGCATGATGGAAATACTAAATGATATTCAGATTACAAATTTCAAGGGGGTGTGGGGGGGGCATAGGAATGGAGAAGTATTTTACTTTTTACAAATTTTGATATTTTGCTGCTAATTATTTTATTTTACTTATTTTATTGCAGTAATTTAAAGAGTTTATTCATAACTTTATTATCCCAAAAACTTTATTAAATAATTTTAAAATCCTCTACATTCTTGAAATATTACCTTACTGAACTAATATAGGATTAAGATGTGCAATCAATTTATTGAAAGGAATATAAAATATTTTTATAAAAAGTAAATTAAAATAAAAAATATATATTTAGAAATTACCCAACATATAAGTCGAATTATGACTTGAGGATTTTTAATATATGCAATTGGATCAAAGGGGGCCCCTGCTTTAGCAGCTCCATAAGCACCATAAGGATCCATATTGTAATTCCTAATAATTTTCTATCGCATAGAAGAAATAAATATAAAAAAATGTTAATCAATAAATGGATAAATGAATTATTGAACAGGGTTGTCTCTTAATAACAACAAATGCGAATTTTATTCACCAGATGAAATCTTTACCGCTCCTCATACTTCATACCTATTAATCTATCCGATTTCATACAACTTGGATCCCCAATAGGAGAAAATAAAGCATTCGAATATTTCATAACAAAATTTCTCCGTAATTTCCACCTTTTACATAAAATCCACAAAGTCCTTCCTTCCCATCAAGCTTTCTTCCTTCTCAAAAACTTTTTCTCTATTCCCAAAATCTAACATGCCTTCTGCTCTATCCCACTTTTCTTATTCCCGGAAATTCTCACCCAAATAGAATCAACAATCAAAGACTCTCTAGAAGGCATCCTCAATATAAAATTCAGCCCTAATTCTTGGATGTAGGCCTCCTTGCTTTCGAAATTTGGGTCTTGGTCTAAGATCATTTGCGCCACTCAGCCTTGTTGCCTTTTTAGCTCAGAATCAAACTGCCGCTTAATTATTCTAAAAATTAATAATAACTCCACCGACCCCCACCTCCACCACGCCCTAACAATCTGGTAAGAGAATTCCCTTTCTGCTCCAATCTCCACATCACAAAAGAAACTTGGCTGGGATCTTCCCTTAATACGACACTCCGTTGAATATCTAATATCGAGTGCTGCGTCTAAGGGATCCCCATCAATTCTTTCACATTTATTAACACCCATTTTAGTTGATGAATCTAACTGTCATCCCTCTCTCCAACAACAACTGCAAGTTCCACAACTTTTACCTTCCTTATCGGGTTACGAATGATTAGAAACTTTGCCCAGCTCAAACTTAGGACTCCGCCTAACAAACAAATAATTAAGCATTGCAAACACGATGGAGTTTTACTTATTGGATGTTGGAAAGCCAAAAAAAATGCCTTGTGAAGAACTTGTTACTTATGGTAATGATAGATTAGAGGTTTTGGAAGAAATACTATTACTAAACAGAATTAAACGTCAACTTAATACAACTCTGAAGAAAAGGAGTTATATGGCAAATTTTAGCTGTTCAAAGAACGTTTTGGATTGCTACCTACTCTGATCAAAGAACGTTTTGCATTTGTAGAAAATTCAATTATTTTTATAGTATTGAAGGTACCTCTTTCTTCATAACGTATATAAATAGAGTAATATTGTATTTATCCATTAAAACAGTAAAATAAAGGTATAATAATTTTAAATGTTATATGAATAATAAAAATTATTAAAGGGCTAATTTTGCAAATCTAAACTAGAAATAATACGATGATACTGCTGCGCTGCGCATCAAAAATATAAGAAAAAAGAATGATCCCAAGGCTTTTATAGTTTGAGCTAATGTTGTTAAGCTGTCCGATTCGTGTCGATTTTTAAAAATGACTGGATTAAGATTTAGTCAAAATAATACGTAGTGTTGATATCACCTAATTTTAATATTGTACCTTCGAAGTATTTTATTATAAACCAAACGTATTTAGGCTTTTATTTTATTTTACTCAAAATTTCTAAGTGAAATTGTTATTTTTTATTTTTACATTAAATTAATTTTTATTATTTTAACATGTTATTTTAACATTCACATTTTAACTTAACCATTTTGATTTCAATCAAATATACGAACGCATGTATGTTATGACCTTTGGTTAAATTGTGATACGATACTTTTTTGTGATACGATTTTATATACAAAGATATTGAATTATATATTTATTTAGTAGTTTTTAAAATGTAGCTTCAGAATAATATAATTATGCCATATTGTATTTTTAAAAAAAGGATATATATAATTATCTTTAAAATTACAGTAAGTAGTAGCTTCACTAGAGGGGTGGGGGGGGGGGTAGTGTTGTTAATTTGCTTGGTCGTAAGATTTACGACTCTTTTATGTGCTCAGGCCGACCCGAGGTTCAGACCCGGGGTTTAGACCCGAGGTCCAGACTCACCTAAGAATTACACCTGGGACTCGAATGAATGTAAAGTAAAAAAAAATAAATCTCATTTTCTAATCTTAAATTAAATCTTATACTTTTCTTATACATTCTAAATTAATAAAGCTTTTAATCTCATTTTCTTACCATTTAAATATTTTTTTAAATTTGGGGAATTTCTTTTGATCAAAATGTTTTTGGGTAAAATAAAAATATCAGTAAATATTAAAATAATAAAGTAACCTATGACCGGAAAAAAAAATAAAAAAATTGTAATTAAATATAAACAAAATATAAAAATAAAACGTCATTCATGCATGTATAAATAAAAAAAAGAAATGTAAATTTATAATTTGTGATGAAATGGCCAAGTCAAGTCTCATGATGCGTTTTTTTAATATTTTTGAAGTTGTTTATTAATTATTATTTTTTAGTTATTTACTATCGTGTTTTATAAATCGTTAAATAAATTGTCTGAAAAACTTTATTTTATATAGTGAAATCTTGATAATATATATTGTCCGATATCTTGTTTTATAAATCGTTAAATAAATTTTTAATCTAGTAATATAAATTATTTCTCTAATTTTTAATTACTAAATAAATTTACTAACATTACAATGAACAATTTTTCTTGTTCTCTAAGAATTATATCCCTAAATGCTAGATCCCTAAATAATAATAAATTTGCCCAACTAAGAATAATATTAGATACCCTAGCGGTTGACATTGCTTGTATACAAGAAACACATTGGATTGATACTTGTAAAATTAATTGCAAAGGTTACCTACTCTTTAACTCGGGCGAAACTGAAAAAAACTGGTGTGGAGTTTGTATATTGATCAAAAAGAATCTATCGGGCTACATCTCAAAATTCGATGGCGTAAATAGTAGGGTATGTAGCATAAAAGTAAATACGAGATGTAAAACCTTAAATATTGTAAATATTTATATACCAGTGAACTATACTGAAAAACAACCATTCTTCATTTTTCTTGACGAATATCTAAATAAATTTCCGAAACGCGAAAACTTACTAATTGCTGGAGATTTTAATGCGAAAGTAGGAAAAATTGATATAAAGAATCATATTTCCCTTGGTTCAGGAACACTAAATATTAAATCCGATATTGGAGGAAAACTACTATTAAAACTCTGTCATAAGTTAGAACTTCGAATAGCTAATACTTTCTTCGAACATTCGGATAAAAGAGAGATATACACATATTTTAGCCCAACATACAATACTTGGTCTCAAATAGACTATTTTATTTGTAATAGGTCGACTATGAGTTGGATAAAAAATATTAAAGTTCTTCATCAGGTTTTATTTAACTCTGTCCATAAAATTATAGATTGCTCTATGGTAATAGACCCGAAGATATGGCATATGAGGAAGAAAAGAAACGGAAAGTCACTTTCGAAACGTCCCAAATTAGATATCGAGGCTTTTATTGAAATCCTTCACTTCTTTCAAAAAAGAGCAATTTTTTAAACTTAGTCACAACTCAAAAGAAATTACAGATCCAGAGATACAAATGGAAATATGGGTTTCACATTACTCTAAAATATTTAATAGCAACGAACCCTCCTCTACATCAAATAATTGCAACGATCCCTCCTCTACATCAAATAACCAAATAGTAATATCTCCCATTGATCAAAGTCCATCTACCTCAAGTTTCTGGCTTCCAAATCTGCTAAACCTTGGACTTCCCCAACTCCTTCCCGCTCAAAATTCTTATATCTCAAATTTTTTATCTAATTCTACATACAACTCAAATTTAGAATCTCCCATTGACCAAAATGCATCTTCCTCAAACTTCTGGCCTCCTCAGGTGCAATTACTCCAGAACCCTCCTAAATGGCCTTCTGATCTATGCCCTCAAAACTCTTCTTCCTATAATCTCTTGCCATCTAAATTATTACATTTACCAAACCAAAGTGAGTCTTCCATTCATCATGGTCCATCCACTTCGTACCTCTGGCCCCCACAATTATTTCTCCCACAAGATAATACTCATAATACTACATCTTTATCTACACATTCTTCCCTCTCTACCTTATTCCAAAATACAGATAGAATCATAGATCCTATCAAGAGTGAAATAATAAATATAATAAAGAAACTAAAAAATCACAAGGCGTGTGGTCAAGATAATATTCATAGTGAATATTTAAAAACGGACCCTATATTATCCGCCGATATACTATTCCCTATCATATCGAGAGTATGGAAGGAAGGGATCTGCCCTAGTGATTGGCTATCGGCTACCCTAATTAATTTTCCAAAAACTAAGTACCCTAAAACTCTAGAGGATTGGAGAGGAATCTCACTAAATTCTATAATTTATAAGTTTCACTAACATAATCCTAAATCGACTCAAACCTTTTATAGAACGAGATTATGTGGATTCAATAGTTTCATTTAGAAAGGGGCATAATGCTCTTGAGGCTATTCTCAACTTAAAGATACAAATAGAGAAATCTATAATACGAAAAAGGCAATTAATAATTATAGCTCTGGATTTTAGGAAAGCTTTTGATACGATTATTCATGATAGGTTATGGATAGGATTAGAAGAAGTTAATACTCCAACTTCTTTGGTAAAAATATTAAAAAATATCTATAATGATTACTCGATACAAATTATCCATGCGGGTCATAAATCAACAAAAATACCAGTTAGATAGGTTTGAAACAGGGATGTGTCCTTTCTCCTCTTCTTTTTAATTTTATTACAAACTATATCATAAAAAGAGTGACTAAACAATGTTTAGCGCAGATTCCCATCGTAAAATTTAATATTCTTGCTTTTGTCGATGATATTTGCATTATAGGAGATTCTATATCACACCTCCAATTGCTAGTGGACATGATGTCCCAAGTTGCTGATTTTTTTGGTTTAAAAATAAATATTGATAAAACAAAGTTGTTGACATCAATATTCTTCCCTCCAAACATGAATCTAACGATACAAGGGAGAAAAATAGCAGAAGTTCAACAATTAAAATATCTAGGAGTGATACTGGATAGAAAAGGAAATACTAAACTAGACCTAATAGCTAAAATAAATAAAGGAAGACTGAAATATAGATCTTTTATGAAAATATGGAGTTCGAATCAATTATCAATTCCGTTAAAGATTCGATTATTTAAAACTTTAATATTCCCCTCCTTAATCTATGGTATAGAAACTTGGAAAGATACCAAACAAGAAAGTAAAAAGATGCAAACGTTCATTAACAAATGTCTTAGATATATTACCAAAACTTTCTACCCGTATAATACTTCGAATCATAATCTTTGGTCCAGATGTGACATTCTCCCTATATATAGACTATGTGAATATAGGAAAATCGAAATATTAGGGCACATTCTCAGACAAGCCCCAAACAACCTAGTATATCAAGCCCTTTTTATTACCCCTTTGGAAGAATTATCTCTCAAACCTTTCCTATCCTACAAAAATAGTTGGTTTGGTAGAATAAATCGATCATTATCGGACATAGATCTATCTTGGGAATTCATAAAACGTGCTTCGTTAGATAGAAAAACTTACAAAATCGTATTAAGACTTATTTACGAACACTTGACGAATAACTGCTGAGAATGTAACAAGTAAAGATGATTAAATTAAATTTAGTTTAGTTTATTATTTAAAAATACAATTCCATATATTACTTTGATATATAACAAGTAAAGTTGAGTAAGTAAAGTTATTTTATTTTATTACTTAAAAATACAATTTCATATATTGCTTTGATATATATCTAAGAGTTGAAGTTATTTGAATAGGGCTATAGTAAATGAAGGCAGATTAAATTAGTGCACATTGTAAGATAAATTCTAATAGATTACATTACATTATGAGATTTAGGTCTAATAGATTAAATAGATAGATATTTTTAACTAAATAATTATAAAAAATAATATAATTATATCTTCTAACTAAATAATTGGGAATAAATCGTAAATAAACTAAATAAAATTTAATAATCATAATAAAAATTAAGACTAACTATAAAAAAATAATTTTAGATAATTAACTAATGACTAATAATTTGTATTGGATGATACAGTACTACTATTTTTTCCTTTTAAATATGCTCATAATCTTATTCCCTACGCTATTATTATTATTGGATTGGGTGAGTTCCACTCCTCTTAATAATTATATCTGGGTTACAAGGTTTGTTGGTATCCTTGAGGAAAAAATCGGCATAATTATTATGGAGGATAGGGCCTCTATAGTAATTCACGTTCGCTCATTTTGGGCAGGTCCATGACCAACGTGCTAGATAAGATAAGATAAGATACAAAATTAAAATTTTATTTATTTTTATATTTAATAATTAAGATTACCATACATAAGATTAAATATAATTTATTATATTACACATGTATGCATTTTTGTTTATTTTTTTTATATTTAAAATTTTTTAAAATAATGTAATATAATATATTAAAAATTTAAATAATAAATGATTATTTATTTAATAATAAGATATTATTACATTATTAGTAAAATAATGTAATAAAATAAAATAACATAGATTAATTATACATTAATATAAATTTAGCGCTATAACATTATAATAATATGCAACAAAATGGCCAAAGTCTATACTATGCATAGGATGTTCAATTACGGCGTTTCGGATATTGAAAAAATAAAGCTGAGATAATTGTATTTTACTATGTTTATGGCTAATCGTTGGCTTAGGTAGAATCCCTCGTTGGGATTTCCTAGCTCTTTAAAGAAGTCTACGGCATGAGAGCCGAACGACGTTAAGGTAGTGACGATTAATGGTAGGAATGTTTAGCTAATTTATTCGCCTCGGCAATACCTTAAAACTCATGAGGATGACGATTGAATCAATAAAAAAACATCCCATATAAAAATATTTTGTTTGAAAATAAAATATATTTTCAATCTAATCTAGTAAATAACTTAAATTTTTTCTTTAAATCATATTGCTAAAGAAAAAAAATTATAATATGATATTAGAATTTTTTTTCTTCTTTTTTTAAAATTTACTAGTAGATAGCCCGTCAAAAATGACGGAGAATGAGAATTTTATTCGTTTTTTTAAGGAAGATGTTACCTTTTATTTAAAAATCATATCCAATTTATATAATTTTTAAACCCCCCCTCCCCATTTATGTCAAGTCCAAGCAATGTCATTGAGTCTAACCCATTAGGACTAAGAGTGGAAACTATTATTTGAGTCAAAATATATTAAAATGAGCTTGTACCCAATACCAAAATTCTTTGTAAATATATTACTGGTTACATAAGACTAACATTTAACATTAAAAAATTTCAAGCCAGGTCCAAGCTCATAATATTTGGAAAAAATTTCCACGCGTTCAAGACCTTATAATTTATAAAAAAATTTCTCAAGCCTAGCTCAACCCATAATAATTTTGAAAATTTTTTCCTAGCCCGGCCCATTATAATTTGTATAAGATATTCCCAAGTCAGGTGCAAGCAAATATTAATCTTGAGGAATATTTTTCAAGCCCAGTCCATCCCATATTAAGTTTCAAAACTATTTCCCAAACCCGGAGATAGTTAAATTGCTAAATAATTTATCAACACATGAAGGGGAAATCTCGGATTTACCAATTAGTGGGTTAACTCCTTTTATCAAAAAATTTGATAAGGGCTATCTATATCTTTTGTTAAGTACAAAAAAATGCTATTTATTTAAATTACAAAAATGCCATTCAATACTAATGAAACTTATATGCAATTTATTTATATATTTTTTAAGAAATTTGTTTTTCTTGCCATATAAATTTAGGTAATTTTTTTAAAAAATGATGAGGAATAATTATTACTCTGTGTGTCTGGTAAAATTAAGAGCAAATCCTTTCAGTCGTCTGCAGAAGGAAAAATTAATGTATAATATCATCCCATTTAGGGTTGTAGGTGAAAGTAATGAATAATGACGGATTACCAAAGCAGTGTACAACACCCATTGCGTCCTGATAAAGCTGAGGCCCTGGGCTACTGGTAAAAGAAAAACGCAAAATGATATTTCTGCCAAAGTGTCAGTTTTGGTATCCCCCTCTAAAATAGAATCATGAACGACATTGTCAACTCAACCATAAAACGGTCGTAAGTATTGTTATAAAGGCCTTGACAAAACTACCACATATTTTCCCATTAATAATGTTAATGAAATTGGCTGCACTACACATTCACGTTTGAACATCTCTCTAAATTAATGAAAGTTCCTCAGGGAATCGGATAAAGTATTATTTATAATAACTCCTAATGAGGTAAATGATAGTGGAATTGCTTTTATTTGTTAAAAATTAGGCAGAGGTGTCATAGGGATTGTGGTAGTGGTGATAGAAATATCATTTGGAGGCAACTGGGTGTATAAAATAAACATATAGATATAAAACATTAGATAAAAAACAAAATAAACCTCCAGAGGAGTTCACAGTGCCTTATTATCTTGGCCACCAGTAACTCTAGAACGGGTAAGGCGGTTGTTGAATTGCCATTTTTTTTTCTTTGCTTATCTTTAATAAAAGATTCATCATGTTTGGTAGCAATGTGAGGGATTAGGGCTAGCCTAGACAAATAAAGAAATCAGGCAAAAATATAAATATACTATTGTTGAAATTAAACAAACATTAAAATAATGTAAAACCGGTAGAAGGGTCAATATTAGATGCATATTTCTAATAAGTTGGAGGGCTATCATCAAATAAAATTTTTGGGGGACTAATCAAGTCTATTATGATATTCTAAAAGTTAAAAAATAACATGATAAATGTAATGATCCAAGCATCCAAGATCTTAATATTTAAAAAGATTTTCTCAAGCCCACCTTTCCTAATAATTTTGAAATCAAGCCCAGAGATATTAAATTTATAACATAAGACTAACATTTAACATTAAAAAATCCCAATATAGGTTCTACCCTACAATATCTGGAAAAAATATCCAAGCATCCAAGACGAACATTTAATAATAAAAATCCCAATATAGGTTAAACTGGATAAAATATCCAAGCATCCAAGATCTTAATATTTAAAAAGATTTCTCAAGCCCACCTTCCCTAATAATTTTAAAATCAAGCCCAGAGATATTAAATTTATAATTAATGAAGAGGAAATATCTGATTTACCAATTAGTCAACAGGTAAAATATATTACTTTATAAAAAGAATAACATAAGACTAACATTTAACATGAAAAAAATATCCAAGCATCCAAGACTAACATTTAACATTAAAAAATCCCAATATAGGTTCAAGAAAAAAACATCCAAGATCTTAATATTTAAAAAGAATTTCTCTAACCCACCTTCCCTAATAATTTTGAAACCAAGCCCAGAGATATAAAATAAGACTAACATTTAACATTAAAAAATCCCAATATAAGTTCAAGCCTACAATATCTGGAAAAAATATCCAAGCATCCAAGACTAACCTCTAACATTAAAAAATCCCAATATAGGTTCAAGCCTACAATATCTGGATAAAATATCCAAGCATCCAAGATATTAATATTTAAAAAGAATATCTCAAGCCCACCTTCCCTAATAATTTTGAAATCAAGCCCAGAGATATTAAATTTATAACATAAGACTAACATTTAACATTAAAAAATCCTAATATAGGTTCTACCCTACAATATCTGGAAAAAATATCCAAGCATCCAAGACGAACATTTAATAATAAAAATCCCAATATAGGTTAAACTGGATAAAATATCCAAGCATCCAAGATCTTAATATTTAAAAAGATTTTCTCAAGCCCACCTTCCCTAATTATTTTAAAATCAAGCCCAGAGATATTAAATTTATAATTAATGAAGAGGAAATATCTGATTTACCAATTAGTCAACAGGTAAAATATATTACTTTATAAAAAGAATAACATAAGACTAACATTTAACATGGAAAAAATATCTAAGCATCCAAGACTAACATTTAACATTAAAAAATCCCAATATAGGTTCAAGAAAAAAGCATCCAAGATCTTAATATTTAAAAAGAATTTCTCTAACCCACCTTCCCTAATAATTTTGAAACCAAGCCCAAAATTTATAATTAATGAAGAGGAAATCTCTAATTTACCAATTATTCTACAGGTAAAATATATTACTTTATAAAAATAATAACATAAGACTAACATTTAACAATAAAAAATCCCAATATAATTTTGAGAAAAATTATACTTGATAAATAAGAGAATGTTCTATTTTGTAGGTCCTCGCTATCCCTAGTGCGTTTCTTTTTTTGATTGATCTGCCATCTTTTTCTTTTATTAATGACGGAATCCCCACCTGTACAATCATTAACTGAGGTTAGGACATGGTTTGTTATCTAAAATAGAAACAAAAGAATAAATAAAAAAAATAAATGCATTGAACTTGATGAGGAGTCAATATACCACCTGTACAATCATTAAATATGGGTAAGACAGGGCTTGTTATCTAAAATAAAAACAAAGAATAATATAAAGAATATAAATGCAATGAACCTGAAGAGGAGTCAATATTAGGTTCAACTCCCTAGAAATAGTTGGGACATTATCAGAAGCTAAAATAGATGTATTCTATAACATAAAAGAGTATAAAAAAATATATATATAAGGCTAACTTTATTTTGAGTTGTATTTTATTGGGCTTCATGTCTAAAAATATTTTCTATAAAAAAAATAAAATAAAATCAATAAAAAAATAAAAATAAAAATAAGTACGTACCGATGACATGACGTAGCGATGCCGTAGTGAGGACATCGGAAAATTATAATATAGATAATGATTCTTCTATTTTTTGAGTTTTAAAATAATTTCCGGTATTAAAAAAGAGGATTCAAAACAACAGACCGGTCATGAAACCTTCTTTAAATGTGTGTATATCTAGATTTAATAGTATCGTTATGTCCCATCATAGTTCAGAATTAAGTACGAACTTTTACCGGATTTGTTTAATTTCATCGCTATTTTTTAAACACGTATATTTATTTTTTTTCTTCTAATTTTATATATGTATCTTGGACAAGTACATTTAATATTTTTAAAATATTTTAATAGTTATTAACCATTAATGACTAAATAAAATGATTACCTAAAAGTAGGACTAAAAAAATAATATTTTAATTACCTTTAATTTGATACCAATATCAATAAATATTATTTTTTACACCCCCCTCTCCATCCACCCCCCAGACCAAGTCATACCCATCAAGACAAAAATGAATACTTTTAATCTAAAGATATTTAAATTAGATTTTATTTGATACCCATATCGATCTTTTGTGTTGATAAAAATATTCCTGACCCCCCAAGACCTAGACCCGCCCTCAATGAGTGATTATTATTACAATAAATTTTTTTTTAATTAACTTTAATTTGATACCCATATCAAAAAATATTATTTTTTACCCCCCCCCCCCCTCCATTCACCCCCCAGACCAAGTCATACCCATCATGACAAAAAATGAATACTTTTAATCTAAAGATATTTAAATTAGATATTATTTGATGCCCATATTGATATTTTGTGTTGATAAAAATATTCCTGACACCCCAAGACCTAGTGATTATTATTATAATAAAAAATATTTTAATTACTTTAATTTGGCACCCATATCAAAAAATATTATTTTTTACACCCCCCCCTCCATCCACCCCCCAGACCAAGTCATACCCATCATGACAAAAAATGAATACTTTTAATCTAAAGATATTTAAATTAGATTTTATTTGATACCCATCATATCGATATTTTGTGTTGATAAAAATATTCCTGACCCCCCAAGACCTGCGCCTCGCCCTCTATCAGTGTATTACAATATAAAAATATTTTGATTATCAGCATGTTTTTTAAATCGTCACAACACAACACGACCCGGGTCTGAACCTAAGGTCTGAACCTCGGGTCTGAACCCCGGGTCTAGACCCCTGGTCTGAACCAGGGTTGCCAAATCAAAATTTTCAAATTGCGGGATAAATTTGGTATTATGCGGGAGAAATATGAAAACTGCGGTAGAAATATAAAAATTGTTAAAAAAAATTTTTTGAGGGTCTATCCGCCTATTATTTTTTATAATTAGCTATTTTTCAAAATAAAATAACATCTTGATTTATTAAAATATATTAATTTATAAAAAAAACCAACGATCTTTTTTAAATATAAAAGAATGTAAACAAGATAAAATTTTATTAAAAAAAACAATTTAATTTTACAATTAAAAATGTATTATTTGCGAATGTCCCGCAAAACTACCGCAATTGGAAATCTACCGTGTGTGTATAACATTATAAGGATAGGCGCTTAATTATCACGTATCACGTTTAAATAGGTAATAAGGGATTTCAAAAATAAGAAATAATACAGATGCAACTACAGTTGCGGCAATTGTAATGTAATTACTTATCTTGAGTACAATATTCACAGAGTTACTTTTCATCACAATGTTGGTAGAATCTTTTTCCCATAATATTTAACGACTCTTATATAAATGAAAAAAATGAGCTAGGCTATCATTAATATTTTAGGACCTAAATCCAGGAAGTCAATTGATGATTTGAAAAATGGGCATACATATGCAATTCTAACAGATGCATCTAATAAGAGAAATATTCTCCGCTATTTCAACAAAATTAAGGTCGTTTCAATAAAACTATTAAATTTTGTCCCCTCAAATAGTGAAAAATCTAAAGATATAACTAACCATATAATGGTAAATATAGCAGATTCGAGATTATCAATAAATTGCATGTCAGCTTTCTGATTTGATAATGCCTCAGTGAATTTGGTAGTCAGCACAATGATCTGTCTTAACATTTGGGAAATTTTTTTTAATAATGAATGGCAGAGGTATATTTAGAAATGATTTCACATGTAGGAAATCTACTACATGCTGTTAATGTGTAGTTGCAATCAGAAGAATCTTAACAAAGATTCACAAAATTATGCCGCATATGTGTTAATCTTTACAGTTAAAAATTGAGAATAAATTTTATGGCGCCATTGTTAAACTTAGTTATATTTTATTTGAGATTTAAATAATAGAATTAAATGTTTACCGTCGTTATTGAGATGTTCATAAAATTCCTGGCATGACATATTATATATCTGTTTAACCATTAGCTCGGCCTCTAATGTTGTTAAAGCAACCTTTTTCCAGACAGTCCTCATCAGGCTAAAATGCGCTACGATGATAGAATTAAGTAAGGAGAAGACATACTCGCATATTTTTTCCAAGCATGGGGATTTATCGTTATCACGAAAAAATTCTAGCCATTTCTCCTCTGCTTTTAGACCATCTAACTTTAAGTATTTTGGCGAATCATAAAAAATAGAGAGAATTACAAACTCCTCAAACAAGAAATCAATGTCTTTCGGTATTTTAAATATATTTTATTTATTAAATTATAAAAACCATCAATTGATGGTTTCTGTTCCAAGGTCTTAATATTAATACATTTGTAAATAGAGTTATTAAAATCAAATTTTGTTTGTAAATATTCTAAAATTGTGTTAATAAAAATATGTGCTTCATTTAAAAATGTATTAATTAGAGTATTATTTGAACATTTTATTATAATATTTTTAGCTATAGCGCAATAAAATTTATTGCCAATTTTTAACTGTAGAGATGAACAGAGCTGTAGCATGATTTTGTGTATGCTTCTGCCATTTCATACTCAAAAAAATTTTTCAAAATTTTAGGACAGCTTTTAAAATCTTTATTTAAGAAGTATTTTTTTAAGGGTTTGTAAAATTTAAAAATTCTATCGATGGCAGGTATTAACGACAACCACCTGATAAGTATATATCGCAATAACTCACACCATTCCAAGTCAGACCACTTCACCAAATCTTTTAATTCATTAACTCTTTTAGTTGATGAACTAAATTTGTTAAAACATTTCATCACAAAGATTTCGACATCCACAGATAATACATTCATTGCCTTCTTGCAAGAATTATGTAGTATATGGCATATACAGTCAATTGGTATTAATTCATTATTCCGCTGCCTCAATTCGGTAACTTTGATTTTTGCCAAATTTAACAGAGGCATTATCAGTTCAGAAAGCTGACACGCAAAGCATTGATAACCCTGAATCAGCTATATTTACCATTATGTGGCTAGCTACATCGTTGGTTTTCACTATCCGAGGCAAAAATTTAAACAGTTTTATTGAAATGTTCTTATTCTTGTTGAAATAGCGAAGGATCGATGGAAATGTTTTAATATTTCCCTTATTAGATGCACCTGTTAGAATTGCATATGGATGCCCATCTTTCAAATCGTCTAGAATTGACCTCGAGGATTCAGGTACTAAAACACTTGTGATAGCCTTGCTCATTTTTGTTCTACCAGAAATAAGGTTTACACTTATATTGGAGTCGTAAAACATCATGATAAAAATATTCGACCCTTAATGTGATGATATAGCTCTATGAATGTTGAACTACATGATAGATGTATACGATTTCAGCAAATGTAGTTGCATCTGTATTATTTATTTGAGAAAATTTTTGTATTGCAATCGATGTTGATATACTCCCCTGTACTGACTTATGAATGAAATGATGTTGATTTTTATTGGACAAAAATATAACAGAATAGAAAGAAATTTACAAACTAGACATGTTTTTCGAATAAATATTTAAAATTAATTTTAAAATATAAAAATAATCAATTAATGTCTCTCAAAACTATTATTTATATATTAAAAACGTTTAAATACTAAAAAAAAAAATTCGGGAGAAATTAAAAAATTGTGGTAGATTTTTGCGGGAGATTTCCAATTGCGGTAGTTTTACGGGAGTGAGAATCTGCGTGTAAACTAAAAAATTGCTGGAGTTTCCCGCTGATGGGGAGACATCGCAACCCTGGTCTGAACCCCGGGTCTATGCTCGGGGTTCGTGCTAAGAGCTGGTTTGGTCGATTTTTTAGACCCAAACCCCGGGTCTGGGTTCATCAAAACCAACCAATTAACAACACTATAGGGGGGGGCGCATAAGCTTAATTTTTTTAGAACACTCCTGAGAATGTCAGGACTACTGACGGCCGTTAGTAAGCCAGGAGATTTTGCTTATATGGCAGAAAGATCGAACCCATATTAGCCAAATCTTGAGGCTAGAATGATAATATTTTGACTAAAGTTTTATTTTGTCTAATTTTGACCTTATTGGAAAATTCATAGCTAGGCCAATGATTATTTAGTAATGAGTCGTATCTTATTAGCCATCAAAGAGGTACTAGGATTATTTTATATATTTATACTTATCCAGATATCATTTATTAGAAAGTTTAAGCCAAGAATATGTAAAAAATAAGCTTAAGTATTTCCTATTATTAAAAAAAATATAACAATATTCTATTTGCATCAATCCTACATTATCGATTTTTAAATACTCAAAATTTTCTTATTTTTTTTTCTGTAATCTCTTAATATATTTAAAACATTCAATAATTATGTAAAAAATTTAAATAATTATATCTAAAAATTGATATTCGAATTTAATATGACTACATTTGAAGATAAAAATGTTTCTGTTGAGGAACTACAACTCCAAGCAGATCAACTTAAAAGTAGATTGGAAGAAGAGAAACAAAAATTAAATGACACTTCATGTATATAAATATTAATGTTCTCTATATTTCCAAAAATAGTGGTCGAGGCAACAAGTAAACTGGAATGTTTACCTCCTTTGACAATTAAAACAAGAAGAATACTCAAAGGTCATCAAAGTAAGATTTTATGTATTGATTGGTCACTGGATAAACATCATCTGGTATCATCATCTCAAGTAAATATTTGAATTTTAAATTTTGTAAAGTAATTTGATATAGGATGGGAAGATAATTGTTTGGGATGCATTTACTACAAATAAAGTTGAATATAATTTAATTTGAATATATATGTTAATTAAAACAAAGGAGCATGCATTTTCTATGCCAACAACATGGGTTATGGCATGTGCATTTGCACCTTCTGGGAATATGATAGCTTGTGGGTATTAAATTTTCTGAGCTTATAATCTTGTTTCTACATAAATGTTTTAAAATTTAATTAATCTTAACATAAAGTTTTAATAGATTAAAACTATTAAAATTGAAAATATCAGTGGTTTAGATAACAAATGTACAGTATTTAACTGGGGTACAAATCCATCACTATCTGGGTCTGGAACAAATATGGCAACAAAGGATAATAATGAAGAGGATTCTGGTTATGATTCCCATATATTATGATTTTTAAAATGTTTTTTTTCAATAATTATAAAATATCTAGGATTTTACTAAAGGAAAGAGAAACCTATTAGCTTTTCTCCCCATAAATTTTATTTAAAATCTTTAGACTCCATTTTTGCATTTTTTTTCTATTTTAACTTAAATTATTATTTATATAAATTACTAATCTTTAATTATATTTATTCATTTATAATGGCATTGTTATATTTTTTTGTGGAGAAGGAGTATAGTTGGATAATTTTTTTAGTTTAAAATGATATTTGTTATATATTTTGATTTACTATAATTATTATAAACATATATTGTCAATTGACTTAAAGGTGTAAAAAAGAAAGCTGTAGCCACCCATACAAGCTATATGTCAACTTGCACATTTTCTGGATTAGATCAACAGGTTTTAAATAGAAAAGGGGGCATTAATTATTTTTTGATGCAAAGCTATTAGGGATTTGGAAAAATGCAAAATGAATCAAATAATTTACTATTTTTGTGAATCATAAATAATAAAATCATCATATTATTTGATTTGATTCTATTTTTTCAAAAAACAAATAATGAATAATTTTAATTACACATTTTTATGAAGTTAATGAAATATATTCTTATTATAGATAAATTTTAATTATTATTTTATTTTATTTTAATGTTATTTTATTTTTAAATATTTTGTAATCCCAACCTAATTTAAAAAGAAAAATAACTCAATTCATATGTAGTAAATTAATCTATAAGTTTAAATGCAATTTATGAGTACATTGAAATTAAAAAAAATTTTTTATCCATAGATTACAAATATGGAAAATTATTTAAAATTGACCAAATAATGAATAATTAAATTAGGGATGCACCAACCCACAATTATTTCACTGATCTGATCCGATATTTGCCGATAAAAATAAAAAACTATGTTTAATAATTTTTAAAAGCATTTCAATCAGAATAATATGTCCAATGCTTTTAAAAATAAAAGTCTTGAAGCTTTGAAATTCTGAAAATATATCTTACCTTTAAATTTATATATAATGTTTTATTTTGTTAAGTTAAAGAATTATACATATAGTTTGATATTATTATTTTTTTAATTATTATCAAAATTTTCAATTATCTATTTTGGCTTTAATGCAAATAAATATAAATTAATATGCTAGCACACTATATATATTTATATTAAATTTTCTATATAACAAACTATATACTTTTATAGTCAAAACAATAGGTAACTTTATTTTAAATTGTTTTCTATATATAGTATTAATAATTATGTAATTTAATTTTAATTTTATGCAATTATATTGACCTCAATAATATAATATTAAATATAGGAAAGTTATAATATTGTATTACAAATATAATATTCAAATTATAACCTTTTAAAATATATAAGATATAACATATACCTTTATTTGAATAAAAATAAATTAAATATTAGGGCTGTGCCGATCCACATTTTTACCTATCCGATATTTTCCTATATTGGTTCAAAACCGATCCGATACCGATATTTATACTGATTTTTCACCACCCCCCTTTGAACAAAATATAATTAAGAAATCAGTATTTTTTATGCAAAAAATCGAATTATGCATTTAATTTTTTAATTTATACAATTAAGACTATAATTAAAAAATAAAATTATAATAGATAAAAAAATATAATAATTTAAAATAAATATACATAAGATAAAATAACAAAAAAAAAGTAAAAAGATCGGATCGGGTTTCTACAGGTATCGGCCTGATCCGATATTTTTGGAAAACACCAAATATCGGTGCCGATCCTATATTTAATATCAGCACAGCCCTATTAAATATTAATTATTAAATAAAGATTTATTACTAGGAAGGAAAATTAGTTCAAAAATAAATGAAAAATATCAATAAAAAAGCAATAAATAATTTGTATAAAAATAAAAAAATATAAAATTATGTATCGGTGTTTAAAAATATCGACCATCCAATATATTTTTTGAAAGTCCAATATCGGCACCGATTCGATACCAATATTTAAAATCGGTAACAACGCTAAATCGAATTATTTTTATTCAAATCTGAATGTAACAATTCATATCTTTGATCTATTTTCATTGTTTAAGTTAGAATATTGATTTACATGAAAATTTCCCCAGCAATAAATTCGAAATTTAACGAATTTACAAATGATACTAATACATACGAGTACAGGTAACGTTGCATAAATTAACGCTTCTGTAATTATATTATTTTAAAAATATATTGAAGAGTATTATAACCGTTACATTTTTCGTTACTTTATAAATTTTAGTCCATTTTTTTGTAAAATGGCTAAATAAGAATCTGCCTTTGTATTTTTTTTTAATAAAAAATTAACAAACATGTTTCTGTTTATAGTTTATACTGTTTTAATAAAGAATATTTAGGCTTTACATAGTGAAACGAATGCTGATAATATAAGAAGCCATGATAAATTAGTGATGGCATCTCTTCCTGATTTTAAAAAACATACAAGCTTTAAAATAAATTTAAATTTAACTTTTTAAGGTTGCTAAAAAATGTTTTGATAGACGTATTTTATTATCGTTTTTCCCTTTCTCTATTCTTCCTAAAATTTTAAAATAAGAATGCCAGCACATAATTATATAACGAAGAGCTTTTAATACAATTTTTGTAACTATATATGTATAACGTGCCCAACCCTGAATGTTATACAAATCTGTTATAGATGTTAAAAAATAATATTTTAATATTAATTTAAATATAATATAATAATATAATATTATATTGATTCAAATAAATTATATTGGTTCAAATAAATTTTAATATTAATTAAAATAAATTATAATGTTAATTAAAATAATTTATAATAATATATTATAATAATCGAATGACCTTTTCGCGATTTATATTTTTTACTTTTACTTGTTTTATTTTATATAATATTCAAATTTATATCCTAAAATAATATTATATAAAGTGAAAATTTTATATATGAAGAATCACAATGTAATTCTTATTTTAATAATATGGTTTTCTTAACTCTAGTTAGCCATCATGTGTTTCCAACAAAATCAACGAAATCTAACATTTTTAATAGCCTTTATTTATTAATAACTAATGGATTTTTACGTTTTACTTATGAATAAAACACATAATAAAAAAAACTAATATTATATATCGTTATAAATATAATCTTAGATTTTGACGGGCAGTGGTGACAGTATTTGTGCTTTATGGGATGTGGAAAGTGGTTCTATGATTCAATCATTTCATGGCCACACGGCAGATGTTATGTCCTTACACATTTCCCCAACTGAAACGGGCAATATATTTGTCTCAGGGGTATAATAAAAATTGATATTTCTTCTTTTTTTTGATATTTTGCGTAATAACTAAACAAGTAGGAATAGGAAAATAAAGAAAAAAATTTTGAATTTTAAAAATATGAAAAAGTTTCAATATTTTCGATTCTATTTTTTACAGGGTTGTGATCGAGCCGCCATAATATGGGACATGAGGACGGGTAAATCCATCCAAACCTTCCAAGGACAACATCAGTCGGACATCAATAGCGTGCGATTTTATCCCAGTGGGGACGCCTTCGCCACTGGTAGTGATGATAGCACAGTATCAAAAAAATATTTGCCATACTATTATTGTAATAATAAAATAAGGCAAGTTTAAGAATGATTAGAAGATATAATTATTGATTATTTAGAGAAAAATTAAATTATATATTAGTGTAGATTATTCGACCTCCGTGCTGACAGGGAAATTTGCGTCTATACCAAGCCTAGTATTATATTCGGCGTTAGTTCCATCGATTTTTCTATTAGCGGTAACCTTACTATTTACTACATCACATTATATATGATGGCAATTCATCTGATTAATGTTAATCAATTCATTCGTTAATTGTTACTAACTTAAAATAATGGCACAAAAGTTTCATGACCAAATTGTCGAAAGTTTATAGGATATGTAAGTATTCCATCAGATGATTTTTAATTTTAAATAACACGCCCAGTAAATGATTGATCATTTAATAACTTTAAATCACATATTTAGCGCAAAGATCTGATTTTGTCGGAAATGTAATTTCAACATGTTTTAGAATATAAATTCGATAAATTTGAAACAATTTTGTAACATATTATACATATTGACTGAAGGCAATACACGCATATCTAGATTCCGAACATTGGCGATAACTTTAAAATTATAAATTCTCTCTCTGGAATGTATAACTGAACAGATGTTCCATCTTCTAAAATTTGCACTTTAATGTATTATTTTTTAAAAAATCTATTCTCTTTGAAAATTTTCTATTATATTTTCTATATTTTTATTATGCAAGATACTTTAATCTAAAATGAGTTCAAATAACATTAAAAAATTAAATTTAAAAGAATGTTTAATTATTGTGCTCTCGGAACTATAATTATATCTAAAATTAATTTTTGTTTAATGTATAGAAATTCTTTGACTTTGGTGGTAAAATGTGTAGTTTTGCTGCCTAGATTTTTTAAAAACTTTAATGTTTTTGTCGAAAAATGGCAATTTGTGGATGTTACTATAGGAATGAAAAGAAAGTTATTTTTATAATATTTAATCTGGTTTCTGCTTTGGTTAGTGGGTTGATTGAAGGGAATGCAGAAGCTCAAGTTTGTCTCATATTAGATTTGTCTAGCTAGGAATAGTTGCCATACCATCAGATCTTAACACATTTACATGAGATAAGTTAGTGGACTTAAGATTGTTAATAATATTTACGGTTGCATGATTAATTACTATATGGCTCTGGTGTCTGATAATATAAATAATCTAGATCATTGCCTGCTAGGGATCTGCATTGGGCGTCGGCCATATCCCGAGCAATTTTTTTCTATTTTCCAAGATAACCTGAAATAAAAATTATTTGTTTGCCCGGTCGGGCTTGAATTTATTTAAATATAGAATTAATTTTTTTCCCAATATGGTTTATTTTTACACTCAACATAAATATTAGCGCCTTGTTTCTTGCAAATATTTAAAAATATTATAATTTTATTTCAAAATTTAAACTCGTGGCCCAGTCCTATTTTAAACTTTTTTTGTAGTGGCCCTTTTCCAGGTTTATTCGAGGATGCTATTTCCCCTTCTAATCGCCTTTCTATTTTCCACTTTCTGGGCAACGCCCCGAGTCAAACCTAACTCTTTCACCCAGCTTGTCTTTCGTCGCTTTCTGAGTTGTCTCTTCTCTTCTAATCAACAACGTCTATCCAATCAATCTTCTTTTGCCTTCCGTTCAACATGTCCAAACCATCTAAGTCTACAAGACATTTCCTATTGCTTCTATCCTACTCAGTTCTTCTCTTGTTTTTTCCTCGCTCAGAGATACTTTGCATATCCATCTGTTCATTCTCATCTCCATTCTTTCCACCTTAGTTCATGAGTCTCCTAATTGTCCATGCTTCTCTTAAATTTTGCATAAATTTTTCCTTCAAAGCTAGAAAGACATTTTTACCGGTTAAAATTGTAGATATCTCTCTAAATTTCTTCCAATCATATCCTATCCTTGCCACCACTTCCAAGTTAATGCCCATCTGAGTTATCACCTACTTAACAGTACTTCCCTACTTTCCATACTTATTTCATTTCCAATATAAACTAGTCATTCTATTATCTTGCACTCCTTTCACACTTTCTACAAATATATGTCGTGCTTGCCTTCTTCAGGCTTTCATTTACATTACTACACCTATTGTGAACCCATTACAAAGCAGATACAACTAAAGTCTCTAGCAACACCTTTCCCATATACACCACATGGCCACGTGCCTGTCTCCTCGATCTTTAGACTCAAGACGAATTATTTTGAAACTTTCCCTATCCCTAACATTTCGAATCACATTTCATGCCTCTTCATACATCACCATCACTGCAGATATTAGCCATTCATCAACTTCCGATTTCCTCAGGGCCCATTTTGTAATCTCATGCGGCATTCTGTCAAATACCTTCTCCTGATCTATAAATGCATAATAAAGCCACTTCCTCTTGGTATAATTACCTCACATCAAAAATAGTGTCAGTACTACTCTTCCCATGATTAAACCTGAACAGCATGTCATCCAATTTCAATTCTCCTTTCTAAAACTCTCGAAAACCTTAATTGCATGTTTTTGAAGTTTAATAGCTTTGTATATACAAACTAGTAAATTACACTTTTTGTTGTATATCAGGATTATCACACTTTTCCACCATTCGTCAGGAGTAATTCATTCAAGAATAATCAGCATACAATGAAAGGTGGTTCACTCGATTCCCTGATCTTCATCCTTAAACATTTCTGATCATTCTCGTAGACCCGCTCCTTTATCTTTCATATATTTTAAAGCTTTTCTAAACATCTTTATCAAATCTACAGCAAGGCCATTTCACATTATTGTCTTAATCTCTTCATTCACGACTTCCTAACTTTTTATTTCATTACTACCAATTATGATTTTTCCCTCAAAATAATTTGAACAGTTTACACCCATTACACCCGGTCTCTCTTTCACCCTCTACCCAGCGATCCTAAACATATTCTCTTCCCTTTCTCCTTCTCCAACTTTCCTGCAATCTCCAGCTTTTTAGTTTCTAGCGTTTTCGCAACTATTTTTTTTAGCATTCATTTTGCTATCTTACATTTTTCCATACCACCTTTCGCCATATTTTTTATCTATTCTCTGTAGCATCTTTTTTCTCATTAATTGCCTTGGCTCATCATAATTATACTACCACTTGTCTTTATGCCCGGTTCTCTTATCCAACCACTTTCCATTGCCTTTAACCAACTTGTTGATCATTTCCCACTTGTTATTTACACCGGATCCTTTAGAGACCCACACTCGTACTTGTGGCTAGCGTTGTAACTTGTTTATTTCTTTAAATCTTTTTTAACTTTTAAACCTTTAGTCTCCGGATATACCTTTTCTTATGGCTTTAACTATAATATCGCCTTAATTGTGTTGCTATATACACTCTTCTTCCGGTATCATCATCACATTTTTGCTATGCATCCATCTCTTTTTCTCATTAACAAATAATCAACGGTACCTTTTACACCACCAGATTCATGTCACCTAATTCTTTATATTTCTTATATAAAGTGTTACTCAATACCATTTCAATTGCGTAAATTCTAATATTCCCTCGCCTTACGAATTCCTCACCAGTCACCAAGTCTGAAGGCTGATTGAATGAGTTTGATACAATCCAAGGGTCAATTTACTTATTAGCTGTTGAGATTATTAAAGGTGTAAATCGATTTTTGGGAGCGATGATTGATAGGAAAGAAGGGCTGGATGGTATATTAGCTTCACATTTGTTGATGCGTCAGCTAATATACTCGGGGCATATGAAGTCTGAGCATTGAGTTGCTTATTAATCTGTTATAAAAATAATGATAAAAGATCAAGTAGAAAGAAGTTTAAACAACTCTATTTAGAAGGTAATTGGGCGAGTGATCAATTGAGTAGAATGTTTGAAACATTTTCAACAAATATTAGAAATTTGTCCTTAATTTTGGATATAAAATTTGTCTTTAAAGGATGAATAGGGAATGTATGTAAGAATTTAGGTATGTAGTAGAGACCTATACAAATTAACAATAGGATGTGTTCCGTGTTGTAAAAGCATTTGAAATATTGTGTAGAATCGGACGTGGTATTGGCTAAAGGAGAATCTAATATGGTTAAACAGTCATGAGCTATTATGTAGCCTGCCAAATTGTGGTTAGTTGTTTAAAAAACATAATTCTGTTTTTAATATTGAGTTATGAGGCCTGAAAAATGGGAATAAGCTTCAAAATATTTTAATTCACTAAGTGCATTACTAAAGGGCCACATATGTTTCCATCGTTTAAATACCACATATTTAGGTTTAATTTGAACTCTGATTGAGTTATCCCATTAATGGTCAAGATTTTTCTAATGGTTAAAAATGCTCAATTTTTTCAAATATATTGATTAATGCTCAAATATGATATTCTAAAAAAATCAGCCGAAAAAAATAATTATAAATAGAAAATCTAGCCAGGTGCATGGCTGCGGTTAAGAGACTAGATAATGAATTCCGAAGCAAAATAAAAGAAGATGGTTCCCTTTGTTGTAAACCTTCTTGGGACTTTTGTATAAACTGTAAATTGTGTTTAAAAAACGTTTTCCTGCCTACAATATACCACTTTCTTAAAATTTTCTATAAACTCTTCGTAGTTAGTGTAAATCTATCGATTCATCATATGGGTTTTAAATGCTTGTTACATACCGACCATTTAAGATTATATCATAAGAAGGTATACAAGGGGATCCATTAGGACTACTTTTATTTTTCGGAATCCATCAGTTTCCCAACTCAATCAGGTTCAAGACTTATCATGGTATTTAGACGATCCAACCACGTGAAGCCCCTCAACCATTGTACCTAGCGCATTAAAATATTTAATTTGTTCCCATGTTTCAAGCTTAACAGTCTCGATATTAATAAAACACAAACCACCCAATTTGGTAGCCTACATAATTTTTCCGACAGTTTCATCCTATTCTCTGCTTTAGCTAATACCAACACGACCGAATAATTTATACACAACATTTTCAAAAACTTTTAACATTCCATTAACCAACACATCAATATTTATCTTTAATACGTAAATGTATCCATTACATAGCTAAGTTTTTACATATATTACATTCATCATCCATCTACGACAAAAGAAATCCCGATATTTTTTTCCAAAATTTGAATTATCCCTCTCTTTACAAATCATTTTTCCCGGGGTAAGAAACAGCTTTAATTTTTTTTTAAAATGCAAATTACGCCTTTTTCTTCTTAGTAAAGATAAACCAAGACCGATTCGAAACCACATCGTAATCCAAAAATTTTTTCAAAAAATATAATCTAATGAAAAACGGTTATTTTATCTAACAAAATTGGTCCGGATCGATCGATTAATCAAATTAAATTTAATCTTGTATAAATAGGTCGTCTTTTATTTGCTGGTTACAATGATTACACCGTCAATATTTGGGATTCGCTTAAAGGCACCCGTATAAATCAAGTGTACGGTCACGAAAACCGTATCAGCTGCTTGCAGACCTCGGCCGATGGAACCGCCTTCGCAACTTCTAGCTGGGATTCTACCATCAGGGTAACGGTCGCAATACATTAAGATACAAATGAGAATGTGTCAGGGTTTAACAAAAAATATTCAATGAATGAAAAAATTTTTTACAATGGAATTTTGAGCAAAATCTCAGGGAAAAAAATCTTCGAGGAAACTGGTTTTATAGAAATAAAACAATAGGAAAGGGTAATCCATAATTTTAAGCTAAGGAAAATAATGAATACAAATTATTACCAAGAATAAAATTCATTTTTTAAAAGAAATATGTAATTGCTTATTAAAAATAATACCTACTAATAATATAGGTATGGGCTTAACTTTCTCAGCGTATCTCACAACCCCTGAACATAGCAAACAAAAATGCAGTTGCTTATTTATAATCGAAAAAAAATTATCCATTTTTAGACGCATTCCTTATATATTTTGATACATAATAATTATCCAAATCAATTCTCATATTTAAGTGCAATATTTATCTTTTATACATAAATGATATATTTATTGAAATGATCGTAGAATTTTTTAAAATCTATTTTCAGTTCTAATTTCTGTTAATATATTTTCAAAAACAAGATATTTGAATTCAATTTTCGTATATTTTATTTTGAGTCCGACCTATACAATTAATATTTATTATATTACCTTGTTAATTATGAAAATTGTGAATTTATTTTTATAAATATAAAAATCATTAGCAAAATTTTTGAATTTACTTTATATTCCTAAAAAAATAAATGATTTATATGTTATAAATCGTAAAATGATAGTAATGTTATGTAATGAAAATTGTTTTCCGTCATATAAATTAATTAATTTATCTATTAAAAAGGTGCAAATAATATTTTTTGATCATGTTTTCATTTTATAAGAATTTTTTTTGGATTTTGAATGATTTCACAGGTTGAATAATATGGTGGCTGAGAAAATAAAAATTTACTATATTTTGATTATTTGAAAATGTTATTTTAAAACTAGATGTCTGCATAAATCTAGTTATTCCAATCTCAGTTCGATCCCGAATATAAACAAAAATTATTTACTTAATTTTTTGAAGATGAGCAATTTATTAGAACACTTTTTAAAAATAATCTAACAAATTTTAATATTTGACTTTCGAAAAATTAGATGATAAAAAAGGCGAGTAGTTAGGGTGAGGAGGTATAACTCTTATTTTAAAATTGTTTTATTTTATTTAAATTTTAATATTAGCAGGGTTGGCAAGTCGGTCAATTGACCGGTCAAATTCTGTCAATTGACCGGAAGAGTATTTGACCTGGTCAAATACTCTAAAAAATCTAAAGAAAAAAAAATTAAGAATATGTAAAAAAGGAGAAAACGATATAAATACATGTGATCACAGTGTTTTATATTTTTTGGGTATCAAGAGGAGCATCTCACTAGTAGTGAATTCAATGAAATATGTGATATAACTCAAGAAACCATTTTAGAATAGGTGATGACCAAGATATTTTAAGTGACATAATTAATTTCGAGGCAAAAACAGCATGTTTTATAGCGATTTATGTGGAAAACAGTAATTTCCATAAGAAACAATCAATTCCGACCTCAAGTAAATAGATTAAACTTTGCCCACCATCATTAAGAGATTACAATTCCTAGTTCTGCTTCTTCTTTAGAAAGAAATAGGTCGATTTGGGTTAATATTCTTATGAAAATAGAAATCGATTGAAGATCTCGACATCAGGAATATTGATTAAAAAATATTAAAGAAAATGATAATATTGAATATGAATCAGAACAAGACTCTGCTACGGAGAGCTAAACGTTAGTTATTGAATGACAATGAATTTAAAAATTTAATATTATAGATTCGTTTTATTATAATTCAAAATAAAGTTAATATTGACTTGAAAAAACATATATTTGAATTTGACCAGTCAAATATCGGTCAATTGACCGAAACGTATTAGACCTGACAAATGCACAACCCTGAATATTAGTGATATTAAAAACAAGAGTGAAACATTCGTCAAAATAAAAAAATCTTCAAAGAGGTTTGATAATGTTCAAGCAAAATTTTACTTAAAATTCCAAATCTGTGATCTTATACATCTCTCATGATAAAGTCACAAATCTTTAAAAATAATTATCTTATTTTCTTTAAAAAAATCCTATTCAAAGAGTTTAAAATAACCCGAAACACTGTTACTTATACTTACTATAATGATATTTTTAAAATACCAATAAAAGTGATACTTTTTATCTGATATATTTATATAATATCTTCATTCGTATGATTTAAAATAATTCAATCATTTTACCCTATTATTTGATATAAATTCAGATTATAAAGTGTCTAGAAAATTTTGAACCAATGGCTTATTGGTTTTATTGGGAACATTCGACCAAATTTAACTTTGACATTTTGTATAAGTAATGATAGCCAGAAACACCCTAACCAGAAATTTTGGCTGTATTTAGAGCCCTGAAGGGAAATTAAAATATTATAATTAATATCAGGTGACGAATATGGAAGATTTCATATTGGATAGTTGTTTTATTACTAACAATAATATACATATAATTATTATAAATTATCATAATTACAAAAAAATATTATAATAATAAAATTGCATAAATTTATATTGATTTTTATAATAATTTATTTGTAATTTTGTAAGAATTCTGATTTGGCTTTCGTTTTTGAGGGGAACAAATAGATCTGCGAAAAATAAAAATATTTTGAATTTCGAAATAAGTCATAATTGAGTTTTTAAATAAAAGAAAGTAATATTAAAGTCGATAAAAACTATCGTCTCACCTAATTTTTCGCAAAAATTGGTTGACATTAAAAAAATAAATATTTGTAGAATTTAGTAGAGGCTTAAATTTGATATGATAGTTTGAAAACATTACTAAAAAAGTATTTTCTACCGTTATACTAAAGATAGGCACTAAGAGTTCTATAATATACTTGTTCTTTGTCTTTGTCGTGTAGGCTAGTCAACACTTTAAAGCCTATTATTACGTCGGAGGAGCTAACGATAGGCCCTATCGGGGATTTCTGGGAACTCATCCTGTTATCGTCACATATCGCGCAACACAAAAAGACAAAAAGTTGTCGAGATTCGGTACAATAAAAACTGTTAGTTGTAACACCTTTTTAATTAAAAAAATAAACCGACAAATTAAGTCTCCTTACTAATTTATAGAAAACGGAACTCTTCTAAAAACTCCAGGAACCGTTTCTATCAAAAGTACAAATTTTTTATACTTATTTTCTTGAATTTAAAAATCAAAAATAATAACTAGAAAATATAATTTTTAAGAAAATTATAAATACAAAAACCATTAATTTATAGAAAACGAAACTCTTCTAAAAACTCCAGGAACCGTTTCTATCAAAAGTACAATAATTTTTTTAACTTACTTTCTTGAATTTAAAAATCAAAAACAATAACTGAAAATTATAAATACATAAAAATAAATATTATTTATGTAAAAATAATTTTGGGGTTTTTTCAGATTTTCTCCCCCTCTACCAAGAGTTATTATACCGAATGTTTAATTTTTTATAGAATGCTTACACAATGTTGAAACAGGAACAAATAGAAAAATTAAACTCCAATTAAATTCGAACATATTTGGTAGATTTCCTCGTATTTAACTCAACTGGTAAAAAAAAATTCTTATCTTATGATTTCGGTTCTATAATAAGTCTAAAATCAGTCAATGCGATCAATCATTTGCAATAAAAATCAAGACATTTATTAATAAACCAAGATAATATCTCTTTCTACGGCAAAAAATGAAAATGCAAATTGATGTTCAAATATGCTCCTTTGTGAGTGAGAACCCAACAAAATAATAGTTGGCTATGATATTTTATCCGTTAATTATAAAATTTAAATATTATGTTTGATTTTTATATTAATATTATGTTTTTAAAGCAGATACTATTTTATACAAATTTTAATGTTATAAAACAGGAAAATGTCCTTGATAAAATGAATCCCTCATAAATCAATTTATGTTTGTTCAAGATCCTTTTTAATATAATATTTCGAGTAAGTAAAGTAGTAGCAGTGATTTTATTTCGAAGTAGTTTGGAGACAGCAGATTTTAATAAATGATTTTTTAAAATTAAAATGATTTTAGAAAATCAAATTAATTATGACAAAAACAGGGATGCGAATCCTTCAAAAAAAAGGATAAGGAAATAAAATTTTGGGAAAGAGTTCGGACCCAGGGTCCGGGTGAACATAAAGAAATATTGACTCAAAATATTTTTTTATACAAACATAATTTACAAGTAAGAAATTTAAAAATTATTTTATAATTTAAATGTTTTATTTAATCGCATAGCCTTAATATCATTTATAATAAAATATTATTAACTAAACTACAAAATATAGGCGTATCCAGGATTTTGCTAAAGGGGGGGCACTAATAGGTGTTTTCCTCCATAAATTTTATTGGAGATCTATAGATCAATTTATAGTAAGCCTTATATAAGATTTTTATAAAAATAATTTTGGTTTTCACTTTTAATTTTTATAAAAATTTTGAATTATAGTTGTTATTTTGAAAAGTTATTAACTTTTACTAATTTTTCTTATGGGGGAGGGTTCCCACCTTTGGTTCAAGATAAACGTATTCCTATAATAAAATATTATTACTACACCATAAAATTTGAAATATTTCACCTTCGATATAATAGATTAAAATAAGTATTAAATGGAAAATCAAAATTTGAGAAATGCGAAGAGAAAAAAAAATGACTCCTAAAAAAAATTTTAATTATTTTTCATGGATTTTATTTTAAAACATTATATTATTTTAAAAAAATTTAAATATCTTTTTTGACACCTAGAACCCTCCATTTTTAAGAAAGACCGTGTCCAGAGTTGAGTCTAACAAAAACACGAGGGTTCAGGGTCCGGGTACCCCTGAGAAAAAAAGTATAAAATAATTGTTAAATTTATATATTATGTTATTTTATATTTTTTTTACTTTTGGTAACATTTAAATCCATTTATAAATAAATAAAATATTTCAAAACATAAATAATGAGAAACAACAGACTTCCGTTACACACCCCGTAAAATTTTCAAAAAATAGTGAGAATGATTTGGCCGATAAAGTAACTCGATTTCATTTTGTTTTTAAATTCATTATAAATGCAGTAGACCATTAAAAATTCGGATTGTGAGTAAATAAAATATTTAAAAAAACCAGTTGTAGAAGAATCGCTGCCAGGGTAGTTAAATAGTGGACACTTTAGCCGATCGTTAGAAACAAGCCGAAAAAGGTGATCATCGTTTGCGAACAAGGAATCGTTGTTTCTAACAAAATTTACGAAGCATTCCAAATCGAACGTAGTCAAAATGTCTAAATAAATGATTAACTCATTAAATTGTTACAAGCTTATTAAAATTGCTAGAATCAAGCAATCGTTCTAGGGGCAAAATATATTCACCCCTTTCATTTTAGAGGACATATCCTTTTCCTTCGTTATCTAGGCGAGAAATAAATGAAACTATTAAATCCTATCTCATGACATGATTGTTATTTCTAATTGATATAATAACGTTTAGGCGTTATTCTAAAAACGCAACCAAAGATCTTTATTGATATTAACAATTTATTTTATCTCCTAAATTAAAAATTATTTTGACTATATTATATATTTGGCATGAATATTAGTGAAATTATTAAGCTACATATGGTTAATAAATGATACAAAATTTACGAATAAAATTTAGAACAAATTATTTTTTAAACATCTTATTAAATCTTTTATTATCTTCTTTTACGTTAAAAATTATTAAGTATATTTATATTTTGTACAAAAATAAAAAGTATAATTATAATGATCTTTTACGGTTAAAAGTAACTTTTTATAAAATTTAAGTTAACTAAAAAATTACATTTTGAATAACCTTTTTTAAAAATGATTGCAGAAAATATAAAGGATATTTACAAAAATATAAGGATATTTTTAAGGTAAAAAAAATCAAAAATAATTAATTTAAGTTTAAAAAAATATACACTTAAATAACCTTAAAATATATTCTTTCAATTTTTTATATTATAATTTCATTTAAAATTTTATTTGACTATTTAACATTTCCCTCTTTTTTAAAAGTTTTTCCTCTCGTTTGTTCCAATTTTTCATTATTCATCCATTGCTATCATTAATCGATCAGATTTCCATTTCAAATATTTCGTCAATTTCAAAAAAATCTTTACATTTATATTTTATGTAATCAAAAAATTTTTTATTTTGTATTTATTTATAATTGAAAATATTTTTAGATCTTTTTTTAAAAATATTTTTTAATTATAATTTAGGTAATATTAATAATTCACTAATATATTATAATAATATTACAAGGTAAGTTATAATAATAGTAAAAAAATATATAATATTAGTAAATCACAATTATATAAAATTATTAATTCTTGCTATTTTTTATTGATTGAGATCCAAGTTCCCTTTTAGCATTAACCTTATAATAGGCAGCAAAATGGCCAAAGTCTATCCTATGATAGTATTCAATTAGGGGGTTTCGGATATTGAAAAAATAAAGCTGAGATAATTATATTTTAAGATGTTTATGGATAATCTTTGGCGTAGGTAAAATCCCTCTTTGGGATCCTCGGTCCTAGGAGAGATCCGTTTTCCCAAACTCTTTAAAGAAGGCCAGGGCATGAGAGCCGAACGACGTTAGAGTCGTGACGATTAATGGTAGGAATGTATAATTGGCAGGAAGAGATGGCGAATATTTAGCTAGTTTATTCGCTTCGGCATCTAGTATGACATCTCTATTTATATTGGAAGGGGCAAGAGGATCGATTAATCAGAAATCCCAGGTTAGGAATTCCTCCCTCTTCCAAGGGATCATAGTCGAACCATCGGGCCGCTTACTATCGGAATTGTAAAGGCCAGTGTTACATTTGAATATTTATTATTGTAAGATATATTTAAAGGTCACCTTATATTTGTATATTATATTATTCCGACATGTAATATTATATTATCGAGGTTAATCAAATTGCATATTATTAGAAGTTAAATTGGATAATTATATAAATGTATATATACCAAAAGAATTACAAATTTATTATCGTTTTTTTTTAAAAACTTTAATCGATATAATATTTGGCGACGAGGTAAAAGGTCGCGCGGTTTTCGGTCAAGTTAAATATTATATAGAATTATAATTTTTTTTTTGTTAAAATAAATAAATAAATTGATTTAGCAATTATGGATAAAAGATAAATGGGCTAAATTTTCTATTGATAGAGGAGAAATTGATTTCATTAGATTAAGTTGCGGCCCTACTGAATCCATAATAAAGAATTAAGAATTCGCGATCAATTAATCGCCGGAGAACTATGTTTACGATACCCAGATACTAAAGACGAAGACCAACCGTGAAACTTAAACAAAATTATAGAATTTATGATAAAGGCACGATGCAGCCTATTTAGATTTCCATGGATTATAGAATTTATGATAAAAAAGGCACTATCAAAATATTGATACAGCCTATTTGGATTTCCGTGATAAAATTTGACACAGCAGGAATTATAGAATTTGACTTATCGTTACCAACATATGTAGAAATTAACATGATCAACAATATAATGATAATGGTAATGTGAATATTGATAAACTATATAGAGTAACCTGGAGTACTCCAATGGTAGTGGTACGTAAAACTTCAGGTGAACTACGATTGAGAATAATTCTACCAACGAATCGCAAAAATCGCTATAGATCTACAAATAAATGATGATAAAATAACAAGCGAAAATAAAACAGTGATAGTGGGAACAATTGGTCGAAAAATTAGAATCGCCATCACAATCCTGGAAAAGGGAAAAAGAAAAAGGAAAAAAAAATAAACGTACAAAACCATATTAAAACACCCCGACCAACTACGCGAAATCAAATCAATAATAACAATTGAACCAAGTCAAAAAGGAAGGCAAACGGGTTATCCAACAAGGGAACTAAAGCCAACAAAAAGATTAATAGACGATCTTTGTTACATTTGAATATTTATTATTGTAAGATATATTTAAAGGTCACCTTATATTTGTATATTATATTATAGCGACATGTAATATTATATTATCGAGGTTAATCAAATTGCATATTATTAGAAGTTAAATTGGATAATTATATAAATGTATATATACCAAAAGAATTACAAATAAAATTATTATCGTTTTTTTTTTAAACTTTAATCGATATAATAGCCAGTAGGTTCGAGAGTTGATGGGATGCCGGCGGATTTTAAGGCCCTGGCAATGGTATCATTACATTTTGAATGCCTAATGAATCTAACTCTACAACGCTTGCAGTGTAGAGAGTGACGGCCTTTGGAGTTGACCGACGTTTGACAAGGGATACAGTGATAAGGCATTACCATATCGCAATTAAGTCTTAGACCTATGGCGTGACGTAGTTTGTCATTGCTTAGGAGCTGGTCAAGGTTTCGCGATGGGAAAGCCTCAAGAAATTCGTATCCACTACCTGCGGAAATGGAGAAGAGTAGAGAATGGTCCTCTGGTGGGCTCCTCGATTTAAGGAATGCAATGGAGTTGCCAACTAGAGGTTTATGCCAATCCTTCTATAGTGCCGACGATGGAGGATCGACTAATGAGAGGGACTTCCATAGATCAATTGTGTAGGAGTAAGGGGAAAGGATGTTTGGTGAGTGTTTGTATGATGGGCTCGCAGGATAGGCGAGAGGATATGAACGCACTAATGGAAAGTAGTGAAAGTGATCTTATGCCAATGCCGCCGGATTTGGTTGGTAAGGTAGCCTGTAATATTTTCGATCTTGATCTGTTCTCCATTTCTTCCTCCTCTAAAAACTTGTGTATTTGTTGTAGAATTTTCATTTCGATATTTTTCGATTTAATACCTTTTTCTTCCAGCGGTTTAATCAAATCACATTTGGTCCTAATTGTTCTTGAAAACATCAATTTGCTTGGTATCATGTTCGTTGTTGGGTGTTTCGATAATTAAACAAAAAAATTTCCAAAGCTGTATAGTCTATTTTCGTGTTGTTTTTAATATTTCTTTTCATATTCATCTTCATAGATATTACCATACGTTTACATTGACCATTGATTGTTGGTGAGAGGAGCAGTGAGTATGTGTTTTATACCATGATCTTCACAAATTTTTTTAAATAGGTAGCTAGTGAAGTTAGTTCCATTATCAATCACTATATTGGTATTCCGAATAAGCTAATCATTAATTATTTTACAGTTGATTCTGTTGTTATATTCTTCATTTTTTAATTATTGGGAATTTGCTATATGCGTCGACAAATACCATACAATTGTTATCTTCGAATTGTGCAAAATCTATGTGTAAACGTTCAAATATTTCTGTTGATGTTCTCCATGGATTTTGTATATTAGGTGGATTATCCGCCCATTTGTTGCATGCATCACAATTTTTCACCTTTTTATCAATTTCTGTGTTAATACTAGGCCACCATAGATAATCTTTAGCTAATAGTTTGGTTTTTCCTGCCCCTAGATGTCCCTTGTATAACTCTTGTAACATCTCGTTTTTCATTTTCCGTGGTAATATGATTATATTATCTTTGAAAAGACAATCTTTCATCAAGTTCAATTTTACCTCCATATTTTTGTACGCTTTGTTTTTTATTATTTCACCACTCCTAATATTATTAATAATTCATTATCAGCACTTGTTTCTTTCATTATTCTTTTTAAATTTATTGGTATCTCCCATAAATCATTATCAACTTTTTCATTATCTATATTTAGTATCATATCTTCTGTATTCATCTGTGGTAATCTTGATAAGCAATCTGGTACGATATTACGTTTACCCGGTCTATGAATTATTGTAGTGTGCTGCCATTGCCAAAATATATATGAGTTGTTTATGGTCTGTGTAGTGTCTTTTTAATAATTATGGAAATATAGAAATCTTTTGTATTGTATTTTTTGTAGTAATAGAATTCTCGCAACTTTATTCTATCTCAAAAATAATCTAATTTTTTGTTATTCAAATTCATATGATAATATATAATAATGAAAATAAACATTTTACAAAAAATACAAAAATAACAAAACAATTCAATACATATCATTTGTCACCAATTTATTGGGTTTCGTTCGTATTCTTTTCGGATAACGATCTTGACTTGTAATTTCTACCTCCCTCTCCTTTAGATTCATCTCATCGTTTTTGCTTATATCCTATTTGTTTACTCTCTCTTCGGTTCTCTCTTCTACTTCGGGTCTCTCTTCTACGTATTCATCAGTTAATATATTTTCGGCTCTTTTCCTTAATTGATCAATATGAGGTATAATCGTTTTACCCTCTATACTTACTTCATATCGTAGTGATCCGAGTATGCTTTTAATAGCTTTTTCCCATTTTTTTCTTTATTATTCTAAATGCGCAACCACACTTAATCATTTATCTCGAATTTTTGAGTGTAGTATTCTAACTTCTTCTTTTTGTTCCCCCGTTCGAATATTTGGTCTAACAATCCTCTAGGTTTAATTTTTAGTAGTATTTCAGTGGGAATTTGTTTAGTTTCTGCCTTGTAGAGAAAAATAACTAGACTGGTTTCTAAATCCCCCTCGTTTCTTTTATTCATGTTCTGTATAAAAGTTCGAACTATACATTCGGTCATGCCGTTTGTCTGATGGTAAGAACTTCCGTGCACTAATTGTATTCCGTTTCTTTCGCAGAAATAATAGATTCTTTTTTGCTGAATTGTAGTCCGTTATCAGAAACGATTATCTTAAGAAATCCGAATCTGGCAAAAATATTTCTTAATATTTTTATCGTGCTTTCGGTTGTAGTACTAGTCATGGGAACTATTTCTGGCCAGCGACTGCTAGCATCTATCACTACCAATCAATAATGATTTTGAAATGTTCCGGCATAATCAATATGTATTTAAGTGTTGCCATATATATCCATGCGCTCGAGGCCTTGAATTTGTACAAAATGTATTTATACTTTAAAATTTTAACGTAAAAGAAGATAATGATTTAATAAAATGTTCAAAAAATATTTTATTAGTAAATTTTGTATCGTCTATTATTGCCTTCCATAAATTTTATGATGGCAGTACAATTTATTCAATTATGACATATACTTGATTATTGCCAAATTTCTGACAAAATATGAGGTAAGACAAGCTTACGACAAGCAAGGACATAAATACGTTCCTCAAATGCATGAAACAAAATACAAACATAATATTATTATAATAATGATAATAAACAATATAACGAATCAAGATTCATGCCAAGATATAACTATAATTAAATTTCAATCAATCATATAGCAAACGCTATCAAAGCAATGATAATAACGAACGTCGATATTCGAACAAAGTGAATACAGTTAATATAGAGGAAATAAAAGAGGAAAATAATGATAAAATAGAAAAAAAGGAATACAATTTATTTAACGTGGATGTAAACAACATGGATGAAGATGATAACACGGCCAATGATGATTACAAAGTTACGGTGTACCTAAATGATGTGCCGACGGTAATGCAAATAGATACAGGGTGAAGATTTACGATAATACCGATTGATATAGCAAGAAAGTGGAAGAAAGATCTTAAATAAATCGGATACAAAATTAATTGGTTATGAATAATAAAAGTAATGAGTACTGTACAAATCAAAGCAAAATCCGAAGAAAATACCAAAATTTTAATTCTTATGTTGCCCAAAGTGACAAGATAGCACTTCTGGGAAGGACCTGTTTTTCGGAATATACTAAACAAATTTATAAATCTAACTGAAAAAGATAATAATGATACGATACAAAATTTGATAAAACAATAAAGAGAAAATCAACAAGAAACCTATAAGTCGTAGCTACGTCAAATTACACTTGAAACAAAATGCAACACCAAAAATCATACCACCAAGGCGTGTTCCGTATAAAAGATTTGATTTAATAACAAAAGAATTGCAAAAATGGATTTATGATAAAATAATTGAACCAGTTGAAGATGTTCGCTGGGCAAGTCTACTTACATCTGTTTTTAAAAATGACGATTAACTTAGATTTTGCGCATATTTTAAAAATAATATAAATCCAGCTTTGGAAGATTTTAAATATCCGATACCATGTTTTAATGATTTAATTTCAAAATTGTCATAAGGCAAGAAATTTACGAAAATTGTTTCAAAAACGCATTCCTGCAAGTACCAATACATTAAGATTCTTGAGATCTACTCACAATGTCTACGCACAAGGGTTACTACAGATTTACAAGAATCCCTTTTGGATTAAAAACTTCGTCAGCTATTTTTCAACAAACCATTGACAATATTTACGGGGATATGAAGGATGTCATATTTTACATCGATGAACTGGTGATGATGATGAGGCTCATTTGAACAATATAAAAAAAGTCTTCGACAAGATATTAAAACATGGAGTTATACCCAATTTTGACAAAAGTATATTTTTTTAAAAAGAAATACGATTCCTAGGGCACGTCATAGATCATAACATCCAAACGGAGACAAAATCAAAGCTATTACAAACATGCCAGAACCGACAACAAAAGAGGAATTAACACTATATTTTTGGGCATGGCTAGTTATTATCGAAAATTTTATGTAACTTTGCAGACTTAGCAGATCCTTTTTATAAAATAGTTAACAAATAAAAATGGGTATGGAAAGATACACATCAGAAAAGCTTTGATGATTTGAAGAAGTTAATAAGTAGTCCGCCAACGCTAAATTTTTACAACTCAGATTTACCTATAAGAATTGCAACTGAAGCGTCGAAAAAATGCCGTATTATTTCATATTGAAGGTGATGATAAAGAAAAACCTATTGCGTTCGCGTCAAGAATTTTATTAAAAGCAGAGACAAATTACACGAATATTGAAAGAGAAGCCTTGTCTATAGTATATGCAATTAAAAAATTTCAAGAATATCTTATTGGAACAAAATTTACAATAATTACAGACCATAAACCACTCGTATATATTTATACAAAAGGACTAAAGGATAACACTTTTGTATCGATGCGACTTTAAAAATGGAATTTGGCAATGGGAGCACACTATTTCACAATAATTCATAGACCGGGTAAACGTAATATAGTACCAGATTGCTTATCAAGATTACCACAGAAGAATACAGAAGATATGATACTAAATAAAGATAATGAAAAAGTTAATAATGATTTATGGGATATACCAATAAATTTAAAAAGAATAATGAAAGAAACAAGTGCTGATGAATTGATGGAAATTATTAATAATAATAGGAGTGGTTAAGCAATAAAAAACAAAACGTACAAAAATATAGAGGTAAAATTGAGCTTGATGAAAGATTGTCTTTTCAAAGATAATATAATCATATTACCACGGAAAATGAGAAACGAGATGTTACAAGAGTTATACAAGGGACATCTAGGGGCAGGAAAAATAAAACTATTAGCTAAAGATTATCTATGGTGGCCTAGTATTAACACAGAAATTTATAAAAAGGTGAAAAATTGTGATGCATGCAACAAATGGGCGGATAATCCACCTAATATACAAAATCCATGGAGAACAGCAACAAAAATATTTGAACGTTTACACATAGATTTTGCACAATTCGAAGATAACAATTGTATGGTATTTGTCGACGCATATAGCAAATTCCCGATAATTAAAAAATGAAGAATATAACAACAGAATCAACTGTAAAAGAATTAATGATTAGCTTATTCGGAATACCAATATAGTGATAGATAATGGAACTAACTTCACTAGCTACCTATTTAAAAAAATTTGTGAAGATCATGGTATAAAACACATACTCACTGCTCCTCTCACCAACAATCTAATGGTCAATGTAAACGTATGGTAATATCTATGAAGATGAATATGAAAAGAAATATTAAAAACAACACGAAAATAGACTATACAGCTTTGAAATTTTTTTTGTTCAATTATCGAAACACCCAACAACGAACATGATACCAAGCAAATTGATGTTTTCAAGAACAATTAGGACCAAATGGGATTTGATTAAACCGCTGGAAGAAAAAGGTATTAAATTGAAAAATATCGATAAATAGAGACATAGAAGTAGGAGATAAAATTTGGTACAAAACGTTCAAAGAAAATATATAAGACAAAGGAATCGTGATACATAAAGATGGGAATTTGTCATACTGGACACAACACTATTATAAGACATTTAGATCAGATAAAGAAAAGATCAACGAACATAATCTCAAATGAAAATTCTACAACAAATACACAAGTTTTTAGAGGAGGAAGAAATGGAGAACAGATCAAGATCGAAAATATTATCAAGATCTAAAAATATTTTCAATTATAAATAAATACAAAATAAAAATTTTTTTGATTACATAAAATATAAATGTAAAGATTTTTTTGAAATTGACGAAATATTTGAAATGGAAATGATCGATTAATGATAGCAATAGACGAATAATGAAAAATTGAAACAAACGAGAGGAAAAACTTTTAAAAAAGAGGGAAATGTTAAATAGAAATTTTAAATGAAATTATAATATAAAAAATTGAAAGAATATATTTTTTTTATTTTAAGGTTATTCAAGTGTATATTTTTTTAAACTTAAATTAATTATTTTTGATTTTTTTTACCTTAAATTTATTCAATTATGACATTTAGATACTTGATTATTGTCAAATTTCCGTCAAAATATGAAGTAAGACAAGCTTACGACAAGCAAAGACAATGAAACAGGATATAAACATTATTTCTATTATGATAACTTAAAGGAAATGATGGCAGCAATAACCTTAAAATATAAAAAATATATTCTTTCAATTTTTTATATTTTAATTTAATTTAAAATTTTATTTGACTATTTAACAAAAATAACAAGTTTTTTAAAAGTAAATTTTTAAAAGGTATGGGAATAGTTTATAAAATATAATACCACCTATGTAAAAAAGTGTTAAACGGGGCTGAGGTTAGGTTATGGTTATAAAAGACAATGTTATACCCAATCATAATAATACTAACCAACCTTGATTATAATCGCTAACTATGACATTTTCGCAAAATAAACATTTGATCACGGTATTATCTTCGATTCGAACTAAGGGATTGTCGGTATCAGTCTTTATTTAAAAAAAATATTTAATATGTTAAGTATAATAATTGAAATAAAGAATTCAAACTAATTATAAGTAGGGATAAAAAAAATTTCTTATTATTTATAATTACTACTACAATTTCAATATCAACACAATAAAATCTTTCTGTTTCTATTTAAAATGATATTTTAAGCATATTTTGTTCTATTTTTATTTCGCTGTTTTTTCCCTTAGTTTTTTAAAAAACCTAATATTGAATATAGACACAATCATAGGCGTAGCCAAGGGCAAAAGAAAATTTCCCATCTCCCTTTCCGAAATATGTCCTTCTTGGCCCCTCCACACCCCTGTTTCCCAAAAATGTATACATATATCTTAGATAATAATTTGAAAGAAAGAATGTAAAAATTAACAATTTTTATAAAACTAATTTATAATTCATACTTTTTTGAAAAAAATCATTTATATATTAAAAAAAGTGATAAACCAAAAATATAAGCCGATTTAATTATATAATATATAAAATTTAATTTTTTATAAATAATGATAAGTTGTTTTTATTAAAATTACCTCCTATCCTATAAAATATTTTCTAGCTATATAGGAGGAAACCAGGCCGAAGGCGGTGCAAAGGATGGCCTAAGGCCTGCCAAAAGGGGGTAGGGAAGTGAAACCCCTCTGAAATTTATTAACCCTCCCCCCTTCCTAGGAAATTTCCGGTTACGCCTATGGGCCTGATAATGATCAATAAATAATATCGATAATTGGCAGGGGCTCTTGTCTTTAAAATGAAAAATTTAGAAATAGCCAAAAAATCTGCTATGCCTTGAAGCGTGAGTTAATTTGCCTTATTTCGCAAGGGAATCAGTGAAAATAAATTATCTATCAACATTAAACAAAAAATAGATGTATATTACCAGATGGTGTTCGATATCCATTTTTTTCCCAAAATGCAATTTTTTTAATATTAACAATAAAAATGTCAAAAAATTTAAATTAAATTATCCTTTATTTGCAAAAGAAAGAATTACTTTTTAACAGTGGCCCCTACACTTTTTGAGCGATGTAGGCAGAATACCCACCTGAAATGTACCCCCCCCCCCCCCCACTTGAAAAAATGATAAACTATTTTAGTAAACCCATAGTCCAATATATTATCTTCCTGATGATCAATTTCATGACAAAAAAATCTTCCAAATTAATTTATATTTAAAAGATTTTTTACTTTTAGATGCTTTTTTAGATTGAAGCTGCTCACTTTTGAAAATTAAATAGTTTTATTTAAACACAAAAGACATTTTGCCCGTAATTTGTTTGATCATTTGGATCAACATTTTTTAGAAGTTTAAAATATTTCTTGTATGATGGAAATGGAAATTCAATTTCTTCATCTATGATATCTAAATCCATAATATCTAAAACTATTTTTTATTATATATCTATAAAACGAATATTAATATGACTTACAAGATTTTCCAAAAAATTTCCAATATAAAAAGGAAAACTTGATGTTTATATTTAAAATGATTAAATGAAAAACCAATATAAACTCGGCTAAATATTTAATAATGGATAAATTTAAATTAAATAAAATTTCATTTTTATTGAATTTTAATTAATAAATATTATTAATATTCAAAAAATAATTTAATTTGTACATTAAATTTAAAGGAGCGGTGGAGCAACGCTTCTCCACTCCAGCCCTAAAAGGAGCTAGCTCCCGCTCCCCAATTTTAAAAAGGAGGGGGGCTCCAGGTGTTTTTGAGAAAATGTGACAACTGATTTTTTTTTTAATGTTATTTTTCTTATGTTATTTTTTTTATGTTATATTTTTTATTATTTTTTTTTCCGGTCATGGGTTACTTTATTTGAATATTTACTGATATGATATGATGTCAAAATGTATTAGCAAATAATTAATTTTTTAAAAATATGTTAATTTTTTTAAAATTAATATATCAATTTTTTATTTTAGATATTTAAAAAAAGTTTTTTCTGCAAAATTTTGTATAAAATATCAACTAAAAAGGCATAAATACGTATTTACAATAGAGAGTAAAAAGACTCAATTAACAATTGATAGCCATTTTGGTACTGATCCCAAAAAACTCATAAGTTGTGCCAAACAGTGGCCCCTACACTTTTTGAGCGATGGAAGCAGAACAACCCCCTGAAAAGTACCCCCCCCCCTCCAATATTTTTTGACCCCCATAAATTTCAAAAATAACTTTTATTGCATAAATTTTTAATATATTAACAACACCAGTGATAAAATAGTGGCAAAATGTAAAAAATATATACTTTAAAAATATTATTTTTAAATTAATAATTTATAAATTAGGGGAAGAGAAAGCGAAAGAATTTAAAATTTCATCAATATTTAATTGTTTAAATAAATTTTTTTCCAGGTAAAATGGTTAAATTATTGAGAAATGGATCTTTCATGTTTTAATTAATTTAATTTTACTCATGACCCTTTCGGCAGTTCTTGAGGTAGTAGGAATGGCTAATAAATATCTATAAAATTGTTAAATTAGAGAAAGCAGAAAAATTTTAAAGTAGACGATATGGTAAAAAAACAAATAGATTCTCCACTGATCAAAATTATCATCAGAAGAAGCTAAATAATGTATTAGTAAAAATATTTTAATTAAATTTATTTACAATTCTCGGAATCTGACAAATTTTTAGATTCTTTAACCTCCAGATCACGTGCAACTATTACATCCCCCGTTTTAACCATCTTATAAATATTTCAAAACTTCAACATTTCTTCAAAAATTTGACTTGAATTTAAATGGTAAAATACACAGATATCCTGGATATCATCTTTAACAATTGACTTTTCCGCTATTCCCTGTAAAAAATGATGCTTAATTTAAAATTTTCATCGATTCATCATTAAATCTTTCATTATATTGCATAATAATCAAATCAAGTGCAGCATAACACTAGTTTTAAAGCTAAAAAAAATATTATATTTAATGATGAAAGTATATATATATTTTGGATTGTAATGTTTGAAGTCTGGAACTTTCAAAATCAAAAGGTAGATTTCTCTCCTTCATAAAATCTTATGTCTTCTTTGAAAAAACATCCAAAAATTCAGTGTTATTATCTATTAGGATTAAAAATAAATTAAAGACAACAATTTAAATTATACTTCTCAAATTTATCAAGCAATCTTTTGCCAATTGAATTTGATTTATTGCAAACCCTATCCTTGGAAATGGTTTGCAATTTTGTACAAGCCAAACTTGTTATCAGCAATATTTTATCCAAAACACAAAGTGTAAAATTTTTCTATTCTAAAGACTATAGCACTAGCCATAGTGGAAGAGGCAGGATCTTCAGAATCCTTTAAATTTGTTAAAGCTGCCCTCAAGGCATCATAAAATAGAAAAAAATTTACAATAGCTTTATAAGACGATAGCCAACTTCTAAAAATATAAAATAAACATTTTAAATCTAAAAAATAAGATAATATTACAGAGTGCCATTCTTGATGCGTAAAAATCGTTGCGATTTTGTCAGAACATTACTCTGACATGATTTGAGCAGCTCATATCTTTTAACACCATTAAAATAAATATAAATCTTGTCTAATATTCCTAAAACATTACGCAGTCCTTTTATTGATTGACATAATTGAACAATGATAAATTTAATCGATGACAATATCACCAAAAAAAGCTGCCTTTGAGGCCTCCTCTATAATCACCTGCACTCCATTGATTCTTCCACTCATGTTTGAGGCGCCATCATAGCTTTGCCCAATTCAAGGTGTAAATTCATGAAGCCAAGTTTGAATATTATATTCTTTTTAATATCGAGACCAGTTGTATTTCCCGTACAATATATGTTCAGTCTTTCAACGGGATTAGGCGTCTCACTATTTCTAACGATAATAGATTTGAATATAAAGCGTTTTTAATCCCTTATTTTTTTTCTCCCATCTTCTTTCTTTATTTTATTGTATATACATTTTGAGTAAGTTCAGAATCTGCAATGAATTTAATAAGGCATTACTTTGCTATTTATTTCAAAGCTTTTCTTTATATTGTTAAAATTAAGCCCACCATGTCTTTTTATAATGTGATCTGTCCATTTATCATCTCTTATATTATGCGATGTGCAATTTTTAATTAAACATTTGTATTTTTTTTAGTTAATATTTTTGGGCATATTTTGAAATTGGAAAAATAATTTATGACAAGAAATCTCGGTTAACAACCTAATTTACTAAACATCGACCAAAATTTTCTAAATTAAATAATAAGTGAGAGGGGGGGGGTCTTATTATTACATTCATAAACCAGAAATCCCTTGTTTATGGATGGATGTACAAAACAATAAAAGAATTAAATTTAAAAATTTTTTTAGAAGTAGTTGCTTCGGACTTCCCCCCCCCCCCGTTGTAGGGTCATTACTTTTTAAAGTGCTCTCATGAATCTAAAAAAATAAATAGATATAGAACACTAAATACTCACGCTTGAAATTTATAAAAAAATTGCCTTTTTGCTTGCATTATCATTGAAAGAGAAAATTCATCATAATTAAATGTGACACAAAGCTTACAAACTTCTTCGGTTTCCACAATAATATCGGGAGAATTTTCTTTCTTTATGAAACGATTGACGGAAACTAGAATTTACATAAACATGCATAATTTAAGGTTGGAATTAGTATTAAGGAAGCTTTTCTTTCTTTCTTTCATTATATTATGTTTTTCTATTCTTTTCTCATTTTATTCGTGATTTGATAACTTTTAAAAAAAAATTACACAATAGGTTGATCCTAGTTGTATATGATAAATGTGATTTCGGAGATCTTAATAATTAAATTATTCTATCTTTTCTTAAATAAAATTGTATTTAATAGAAGTTAAATATTCTAAAGTTGATCAAATTTTGCTTTTTTTTTAGTTTAAAGAATCGTCAAATTGACTCTCATTCTATATCTTATATTTTTTGTGGTGTTATATTCATCATTTGATACCGTCGCAAACGAAGAAATTTTACAATTTTACCCATATCACTGGTGTACCGACATCAATTTATTCCTGCAAAACAACAATTCAGAGTTTTTTAAAATATAAAATTTTGTTCTAATAGCCCCATCTCCGTTTGTGTCTAAATATTTCTAATCAATTTTCATAGTAAGATAAAAAAAATATCTCTAGCCTAAGTGAAGATATACCAAATCGGTTCAGATGGCTATACAAATAGAATTAAAAAAATAATAACAGGCGCTTAGGACCTAAGCAGATTAACTAGATTCAATTAAGTTTCTAAACTTGGTTTGAATAGGTTCGTGTGACTTTCATTATCTAGCCTCGTTGGTTAAAGAGTTGATTTTGAAGTTTAGGGGTTTTAAAAAAGAATAATATAAAATTGTTTTTCATTTAATTAAATAAATGTCGCGAACATGGCCAGTGGTATATATCAGTAAAGATTAAAAATAAAGTTTCATTAGTTTAAAGTACCTGAGCGTATAAATCTTTCACATTCCATGCCTTCGTAGTTCTCCATTTTACAACACAAATCCTTCTCATTCAGTGTCAAATCAATTATAACATCCGTATCATCTTCGGTATGGTTAAGTACTAATGTATATATTTTTTTTAATTAAAAACTATCATAAATAAGTTTGGCAAATTAAAGAGCAGCAATTTTTCTAAAAAATAAAATTGAGCATATCATTTTAAAAAGGTCTCGATTAGTCCCATCCACTTTGACATATGACAATTCTTTTATTTTATGATTTATAATTGAAAAAGGAATGTAGCTTGTCTAGTCACATCTTTCTCATTCTGAAAATAATAAATTTGGAATTTATTTTATCATGTTTATAAACTTTAATATTGTCACTTTTTCCCTATATAAATAATACTAAATAAATTTTACTTTACATAAATTTTTAATTGCAAAAAAGTATTTATCTTTCTTAACACTCAAACAATAAACGATATTTCTATGAAAAGTTAGCTTCAGAAGTATTAAGTTCTTGATGATACATGACAAAATAATTAGATGTTCCCATTCTCAAACATTGGTAGAATGTGAATCTATATTTATAACGTGCATTCTAATTATTATATTAAAAAAAATAATTAAATGACAATTATACAATGAAAGGAAAAACAAATTGATGTATTCAAGTTTCTATAACATATTATCTATCTTTTCAAGTAGAACACCTCTTCTCTATATGTATATCAAGTTACATGGTCTTGAAATAAAACATAGGTGTCAACCCTATCGCACAATCAAAGCGCGATTAAGAGCATCAATATCACATATAATAATTTTAAAAAATTGTCATATTCTTTTGACAATGAGACTAATTTAAGAAAGCGTTGAGATAGCTCAAAACAGCAACAATTTAAACAGGGGAGTAATTTCCCTAGTGAATGGAAGAGTTTATTAGCCTATAGCTAACATGATTATTTTTTCCTTACTAATTTTAGAATTTCTTATTCTACTTTTGTCTAAATTCTTATTTTAATTGAATTTTTGCAATTCCTTGAGAAAGGTAAATAATATGTTATCAAAACGTTAAAATTTATAAATTTGTTTTTATTTTTTCTTCAAGTGCAAAATTGCTATTAAATTATGATTTTTAAATATAATACCATAATGCACATTATAAATATTCTAAATTCACAATTTTGATATTTGATTAAATGTTTATACTAGTTGTATTAATAATAATATTTAAAAAAAAAAAAATTTTTTAAATCTAAACCAGCGAAAAATATATTATGCCTAGTTTATAGTAAGTGCGATTTCCCCAAATGATGTTTGCGTAATTTACAAAAGCAAGAAAATAATAGATATAATTTATAAATACGGGACGAAATGATAAAATTGAGAAAGCTTGTTTAGGTACATTTTTATTAAAGCACTGACGAATCCGCCGTGATTTCTCTAGCGATTATTTCGCATAGCTTTTGCAATTATTATAATGTAGCATTACGCAGAGAAAGCGGGTAATAGTTTGAAAAGTGAAAAAATATAAATTCTTCTATCTTTCAAAAGCGCTATTAATTAATTTAAAGTTAGGATTATAGAAAATAATATTTTAAGCGCGTTTTTAAATCAGGAAGATCTGATTTTGTCAAATATTTGAATTCCATTAAAAATAACTATCTTATCAATTTAGTAATAAACATTTGAGCGCACATTGACAATAACATGAGAGTTATAGGACACATTTCTAGACCTAGACCATAGATACACTATAAGTATTTTAAAAAATGTTTGATTAAACCTATATAAAAGCAAGGTGAGCTCATTTTAGAAAATAAATTCAAATCAGTTTCATATTCTTCTCATGGTGATTCGTGATTACCTTAATGATGGGAATAAGAATATATAAAAATCAAAAGTTGGTTTCACCATAATTCCCCGGAACATCAACGATGGGGAAAGAGGCCCCTACTTTATCTTCGTTATTTTTATAGTGGTTCGAGGACGAATTTGTAGACATTTTGGCTAGAAAAGTAGATAAATCGTCGATAACGAAAGAACATTCGGAATTACTGCTGGAAGAGCAATTTTTCAAGTTATCCCGTACCCACCTAGAAAGCTTTTGAGCATGAAGGTTGTGGGTTTGTAGGTTTTGTCTATAAATGTTATAAAAAAAATAAAATATTCCTTATTATTTTTATTCGTTTTAATTTCTCAATTCCATATAATTATTTATTTTCTTATGAAAAAAAAGGAAAAGTAATAGGGAGGGAGGTTAAACATTCCAGATTCGAATCAAACCTGTCTTAGGCCTAATGGTTATTTACGGGTTTGCTTCGACCGTGCTCTGTGCCTCTCCTACCAGCTGGGTTAAGGCTATTTATGAAATAGATGAATAGGTAAATCGACATGAAAAAAAATGGGTATTACCAATGGCGAAGCTCAAGAATGCGGAATATGGAGAAATGGGTAAGTGGCATTGTCCAGATAAAAATGGAAAGAGGTTATTAAATGAAGAAAATCGATAATAAAAAATATTCAAAAAGTAACGCATTACAGTTACCCTTGTTATATTTTTTACGATAATTTTTTGAGGATATCTTATATTTAAAAGGATTGCAAGCTAAGAGTAACTGTAGGGTTAGGGTTATTAATATAGAAGCTATTTCGACCAAAGTTTTACCGACGGACTGTTTAATAACAGGGTTAAATAATGTCCAATTGCTCACATTTTTTAAATTTAATTTTAAAAAATAAAATATAAACCTTTGACAAGGGGATTGCGAGCTAATGTGAGCTGCGTTGTTCAAGCTATATGAGTTTTGATTGGCAAAACGCTCGTCCAATAAGAGAAGCGCGCCCCAGTCATCTTTGTGCCTTATGGTCAGCCATAAAATCAAAAATCAAGGTTAAAATTTTTTTTTTTAAATATTATATCACATGCAAATTTTAAGCCCCCCCCCCCCCAAGTTTTATTAAATGTAGCATTTAATAAAAATTGCAATCGTTTTAAAATAAAAAGACCTTAGACATCGGCCTAGGGCCTGATTGAGAGCTCTGAAAGCTTGAATTTCCAACCATTCGCTGCCAGTCAGGGATCTGTTCTGTAAAATATAGATTAGAAGAATCAAAGAAAGCATTCGTAAAAATGAGCCAACATTCCATACGCATAAAAAAATTATAACTTTTTTAAAGGCAGAATTGTTGTAATCCTTTACAATATAAAGTATAACAAAAATCTAGAAATAAATCTATGATTAAAGCAAAAGAGAAATAACCAGCCATAATCACAATATATATGAAAAGAACACCAATTATATTATAAGAATTAGAAGAAGAAGGATAAACTGGTGTCTTGACTGAGCATACTTTATTGCCAATTTTGGATTTAAAAAAAGATATCTAATCAAAATAAATCTACGAGTATTTGACATATAACAAAACTTTTGATGTTTATTTAATTCGTTTATTCAATATTTATTAAAGAGAAAAAAAATAAGCCTTTATTAATAATCTATGATATTGTCACAAGAGGAGAGCAAATAGCCTCATATTGAAATTAGTATTTAAACTTGGCTACTTATGTTATAACATAAGTAATCTCATATGGGCAAAGGCATGATGTTAGCTGAGATTTTGCTCTAAAATAATAATGCTAAATTTCACAATTTTCAAGGGCATAGATAAAAAGAGTATACGGCTCTAAAAATTTCTTTATAACCAACTACGCGCATGTAACAATAATCGAGTACTTCTACCACAAACTTATCAGATAAAATGCAAAGTAATCTAAAAAATTATAAAGTTGGACCTACAATTTTGGATTTCTGATGTTTTATCTATTGAGAGAATTTGTACTGTTTTCATTTCGATTTGTACCATCGTCGTTTTTCAGTTATTCAGAGAATACAAATGCAGGGCCAACTTCATGGCACCCCCGCAATATTTAAATTCACAAATAAAAAGTATATAGGTCGACAGAGAATTTTGTATCGCCTTCGTTTCGATTTGTTCCATTATTGTTTTCTAGATATTGACCGTTAAAATTATGAGCAAAAATATAAAATCCAAATTTAAAATTAAGCGATAGAGAATTTTTCCTTCTAAAATATTATTTTTAAAGATAAAAATGAATTTTTTATCGAACTATACACTTTTTATTTGTAAATTCAAATATTGCGGGGCGCTACCGTGAATATCTCAAAAACGATGGTATAAATCGAATTGAAAACGATATAAATCCGCTATCCTATTGATTAACAATCAAAAATTGAGGGGCATATTTCGAGGACCTGATTATGAGGATGTCAAGAAGAAAAGCTAGTAAAATACATTTCATTTCGGTTAAGATTATTAATTTTATATAAATTTCATTGCTTCTTTTTCTTTAATAATTATTTTTTTACAATGATCTATTTGGGCTAAAATTTTGGTATTTTTTAATATAGGATGCTTGGAATATGACTAAAAATGCTTAGAAATTCTCTTTTCTAGCCATTTCCCACTTGATCGGCAATGATGATCGCGTTACGTCAGGTTCGATCGGCTCCATGTTGTGTGTGGATTCGTTAAAATGTGGGCCAAATTTAAGAAACACGTGTAAAAAAAATTATGTATAGGACATTATATAAAAATATGTTTTTTAGGACAGATGCGTTTAGATCGCTATAGAATTTATGGACGATAACAAATATTATCATTTTTAACGCTATTTTCTCCTCTCCCGTTTGTGAGTCTTGTGGAGTGAGATAGGCCATCATTGTATTTGCGCTTCAAAACGACCTTCTTTTCCCTCACGTTGGGGTAAGGAAGACCTATGGAGATGACAAGCCTTGCTAAATGGTCGGCGAAATCGATGCCTTCGCTCACTTTTCCTCGGTATACAGCGAGCAACACGCCACCTTTTTTTTATATAATTATAAATAAAATTACTCTTCTATCCTTCCTTTTATTTTGCCTGTTATTTATTTATGTTTTTTCTTTCATTCTTATTTCTTTTTAATCCCTTTATATATATATTCTATTTTTTTAAACCGAAACATAAAACATCGTATTTTTTTTTATTACGGGGTTATTTTTTGCAAATGTATTTCATTTGTTTATTATTTTTTTTCAATCATTTATTTATTTTTTACTTACTTTTTGAAAATTTCCTAAATACTCTTTCTCCCTCCTTCTGTCCTTTTTCTTACTTTCTTTGATATATTATTTCTTTCTTTTCTCTCTTCCCTTTCTCTATTTTAATGTTAAATATAAAAAAAATTATATAAATTATACCTTGAACTGCTGCTTTTGGTTCAAAATTGATTTTCTGATTACAAGACAACTCTATATATTTTTTTAAACAAGAATTATATATTATTAGTTATAATACTATGATTCTCTTTATTTACAAGCACACATAAAATTCCACATCTTTAACCATTATCCTATTAATCGTCCCGACCCAGGCCCGGATTTTTGTTTTATGTCCGAGCCTATTTTTAACATTTTTTTTGGTTCAGCCTGACTTTGGATCGACTTGCAAGGTTATAACTAGGCCTAAAACGAATTATTTGTTATTTGATATTCGATTCGTATTTTACGAATACGAATAACACAATTATTCGATTCGAAAGGAAAATTATTCGTATTATTCGAAATTATTTATATATAAATATTCGTAATTATTCGCAAATATTTTATTGCAAGTAAAATAAAAAGAAGTAATTAAATTTTTCTAGTGGATATCATTTCGTTTTATTTTATTTCCTATTATCAAATATCAAATCATAACAAGTTATATTTGCTGAAAAAGTTTAATGGAAGAAAAGGAAAAGTTTCAAAGTAAAATATAATCATTTTATTTTGATTGTTTCTCTTTAATCTATGTTATGAACAAGTCAAAACATTTTTATAGAGTGTGCCTCTTTCCCATATTCTCGAGCTCCTGGCAGATAAATAACTAAATTTTTTTGACTAGTTCTTATTATATTAGGAAAATCCTTTTCCCATTTAGTAACCTTATTTTTGGCAAATTTTATGGACAATCTAATTCAGATAGTGCATTATAATATCTTCATCCTCTATTACATTGTCATAATCACCTCTAAAAATTACATTAATAATTAAATAAAGGAAATTTATGCTACTAAAGTATTTTTATATATTAAATAAAATCTATAATGAAATACTTTCTAAAATTTTGTTTTATTTTATATGCAAATATTTAAAATGTAGATATTTTAAATAGATTATAATTTTAAAAATATTTTGTCATAATCACCTTCACCTCTAATTAATAAAATGATATTAATAATAAAAATAAATACATGATTAAATAAAGGAAATTTATGCTACTAAAGTATTTTTAATAAATAAAATCTATAATGAAATACTTTCTAAAATTTTGTTATATTTTATATGCAAATATTTAAAATGTAGATATTTTAAATAGATTATAATTTAAAAAATTTTATTTTGTCATAATCACCTTCACCTCTAACTAATAAAATGATATTAATAATAAAAATAAATACATGATTAAATAAAGGAAATTTATGCTACTAAAGTATTTTTAATAAATAAAATCTATAATGAAATACTTTCTAAAATTTTGTTATATTTTATATGCAAATATTTAAAATGTAGATATTTAAAATAGATTATAATTTTAAAAATTTTATTTTGTCATAATTACCTTCACCTCTAATAAAATGATATTAATAATAAAAATAAATACATGATTAAATAAAAGAAATTTATGCTACTAAAGTATTTTTAATAAATAAAATCTATAATGAAATACTTTCTAAAATTTTGTTCTATTTTATATGCAAATATTTAAAATGTAGATATTTTATATAGATTATAATTTAAAAAATTTTATTTTGTCATAATCCCTTCACCTCTAATAAAATATTAATAATAAAAATCAATACATTATTAAATAAAGAAAATTTATGCTACTAAAATATTTTTAATAAATAAAATCTATAATGAAATATTTTCTAAAATTTTGTTATATTTTATATGTAAATATTTAAAATAAATTTTAAAATGTAGATATTTTATATAGATTATAATTTTAAAAATTTTATTTTGTCATAATCACCTTCACTTCTAATAAAATGATATTAATAATAAAAATAAATACATGATTAAATAAAGGAAATTTATGCTACTAAAGTATTTTTATATAATAAATAAAATCTATAATGAAATACTCTCTAAAATTTGTTATATATTATGCAAATATTTAAAATAAATTTTAAAATGTAGATTATTTTAAAATTTTTATTATATAAAAACTATTTTAAAAAATGTAATTTAACAATTAACATAAAATATAAATTTAAAAAAATATATAAATAATACACTGTACTTTGATTAAAATAGTATTTCCATAAATTTTAAGAATTAATACAAAAATTATATAAATGTTATAACTAAGAATTTATTTTACAAAAATAAATATTATTTAAAACTAATATTATCATATTGCTATTTTTGATTTGAATTTATAAAGTAAGGTCTAATTTTCTCTAAGGTTTTGCTAATTCATAATAGGAATAAAAATAGTAAATTAAAATAATTTTATTTTTTAAAAAAAGACCCCCCCCCCATGCCTATGCCACTGTTTAATTAATTTACTGTTTTTTTCTTTCAGCTTCTAATGTGTCATTAATCTGGAATTTCAGGAAGGATGGTAAACTTGGATTTTATATGATATAATGTTAAAATATATTCAAAGATCAATTAGAAAATCTTGATGGAAGAAGATGTGGTGAAGGACATAGTCAATCCTCAAATAGTTGAAGATCTACATCAATCTCTGATCAAACTGAACATTTTAATGCTAGGAGGAAAAATTCTTTAATATGGAATCATTATCTCCATGATGCTAAAAAAGAAACAGCTAAATGTAAAATATGCAATGTGGAGATAATGTGCAAGAAAAAAACTACGTCAGCACTAATTAATCATAACAAAAGATTTCATCAAAATCAAAATAATACTATTAGAAACTATTTAAATGATATACCCAAAACAAATGCTGATGATGTTAAGCATTATTTATTAAAATTTTTGCTAAAGTCAAATATACCTTTTAAAATTCTCGCCACTCAGGAATTCAAGTCTTTCGTTAGAGCTTTAAATCCTGAAATAAAAAAATGCTCAATACCGTCAATTAAACTATATATGAATGAAATTTTTAATAAAGAATTCAATAAAGTTAAAATAATTTAAAATGCCAAATTAACTTTACAACTGATATATGGACAAGCCCTACTAATATACCATTTTTAGGGTTGACCTGCCACTTTATTGATGAAAAATGGGAGATTAAATCATTGTTATTGGATATAGTTCCATTTACTGATTCGCATTCTGGTGAAAATATTTATAGAGTTTTCTCAAATTATAATATCGACATAAGTAAGATAGCAATTACTTGCGATAATGCTAGCTCTAATTCTACTTTCATAAAAATTCTTCGCATAAAACACCCAAATTGTGAAATTTTACATGTGCGATGTTTTGCATATGAACTCAATTTAGTAGTACAGGAAATAGTTAAGAAAGTAGATAGGCAAGTATCAAAATTAAGAACAATCATAAAGATTATTCGCAATTCTTTTACAAAGACAAATATTATGCAAAATGTGTGCTCCTCCCTACTTCCCCCTATGAAACATTTAAAATTAAAATTAGACACATCCATCAGATGGAATAGCTCTTATTTAATGGTGGAAAGAGCTATTAAAATGAAAAGGGCTATTGATGAAGTTGTGACTCAGATATATGATGATATATCTGATATCGAAGAAAGAAAGAGCGAAGTAATTTAATTTTATTTACTAATTATTATTTTTTATCAGGATGATTGGACTACTTTAATAAACATACAAAACAAATTAAAGACTTTTTTTGATTTTACCGAAGATATATGTGGTGACACATATCCTACCCTAAATCTTGTCATCCCTTTCTATGTTTCTTTAATCGAACATTTAAATTCATTTGATCTCGATTTTATAAACTCTATCAGTGCGATTGAGAAAATAGAAACTTATTATAACAACAAATATTCACACTATAATATCAACAATACTGGATCCTTGACTAAAAATGGAATTTTTTGAGCAACTACGAACTACATATAACATAGACACAAATCTATTAGAAAAATTTAAAGATGTATATAATGATTACAAAATAAAATATAATATCAAATCAACATCAGTTAACCCAATAGTAAGTCGAACATGGATAGAATTTTTAAACAAAATAACATCGCATCAGTATGTGAGGTGGAGACATATCTTAACGAAATAAGAATCAGTTCAAATAAGAGTCCCTTAGAATGGTGAAGATTGCATGGGGTTGTCGAAAATGGCAACTGATATATTGTCAATTCAGGGGTCTTCGGCTTCATGTGAGCGGTTGTTCTCAATAGGAACAAATATGATAATGAAAAATAGAATGTCTTTGAAGGAGGAAACTATTAGAAAGACTTTATGCTTAAAAAATTGGATATTATCAAATTCGGATTTACTATAATTTTATATTTTTGTGTATTATTTTCTATTTTTATAAAATGAGATTATTGTACATTTTTAGAAAATTTTAATAAAATTTGAATATTAGATTGAAGAAATAGTTTAAATATTTTTTTATAAGCAATTCTAATTCTAAAAATCGGATATTTTCGTCAATTTGTTTGGTTAACGTTATATGAAATCATTGGGTTGGTTTTATTTCGTTTATTTTCTATAAATTTTCATATTGTAATGACAATTAGTTTAGAGAATCCTTAAAAGTGTCATCTTTTAACATCTGTAAAATTTTTTTTGCAAAATATTTTATAAGCTTTAGAAAAATTTTCGAATCGAATATTCGACGAATCGAAACGAATAATGATTTTATTATTCGTACGAATACGAATAGAGCAATTATTCGATTCGTTTTTTTGTAGGCCTAGTTATAACTAGGGTTAGCGAAATTTTTTGAAAAAATCAAGTTTAGATTTACATTAAAAAATATCATACATCATAAAAAAATTTTTACCTTACCATAAATCTTGGCAAGTAAAAAGTTAATGCTTCAGGAGACCCGGTCAGGAAATAGTGAAAAAATATATATTGATAAGCCATGAGCTAATTATTTTACCAAATGAAAAGCAGACTGCCAATCAAAAATTCGATGAGATGTGCAACTGTTTTAAAAAAATCTCAGTGAGTCGAAAAGAAAATAATTCATTATTTTATAAAACTAATACTTATATGAATGTCCTCGAATAAAAATGTTAAACCAATTTTAAAATTGTATTTTTTTTTGATTAATAAAATAATTGGTGGTTTTATTATTTTTAATTTTAGCTACTGTTATTTCCCAATTGGGTGTCCTGATGCATTAGCCTAATTAATCGTCGTTCATTCATTAACACATTTAATTTAATATAATCTGTAATTTGTTTAGTATGTCCCAAATATCAAGCATTTTTAAAACTCTCTCTCCTCCTTTTTTATATTTAGTTATTAAATTATATTATAATTATCTTTTAATTACTTTTTCTGCGGATAAATAAATTTTTCATAATAAAATATTATACAAATCAAATAAGCATGATAATCATTTTTAAAATGTTTGGTTATTTGACATAATTTAAAAAAATGATTTATTATGTATATCTAAATTAGTTTATTTAATTATTAAATGGATGCCTACCTGGGTAAACCTGGAAATCGCCATAAAACGGAGAAGAAGAAATTATTATAAGGATATTTATGTGACCCCCATACAGAAAATCAACATTATTATAATACTTTCAATAATATATTTCTTATCCTTTCTTCTAACCCCGTATGTCTCAAATTTAACAAACAATGAGACCGAGTTTAATTTCATGTCTTAACACTAATCTCTTATCTATCATGGTAAAATTCTAAGCTACTTATAACCCTTAATAGAATTATGTTTTCAGGTGAAATAGTTAAAAAAAATGAATGATGGTTTGCAGGACCATTAAATTCAGAGTAGAATCATAGGTAAACAATCAACAGCTTCAGTAGAGAGTATTTTCATCATTTGGAGTGTACTCAAAACTTAGGAATCGTGTGGGAAAATTCTTTCAAACAATTAAATTGAAATACCAATATCGAGGACATGAATAATCCTTGATTGTTAAACTATTATTATTAAAATGATTTTTTACAAACTATTTTTTTTTTAGTGTAAAGACAAACAGATGGCATTACATTAACAACATAATAAAAAAAATTAAATGTTAAATTAAGTTTAATATTTGTATAGGCTTTATATTTAGAATTATACAATAAAATTAACAATTATTTTATACATCATGTAAAAAATTGAAACAATGAAAATCAAAATAAATCAAGTAATTTTTTTTTATCTAATAAGTACCGATAAGAAGTACAATTTAGTATTTTTCATATAAAAATTAAAAATGATTATTAATACATATTTAGTGAATACTTTTTTTAAAAATATTTAAGCTTTTCCCCCCAATTAGTGTTGTTAAAAATCCCGATTTGGGTCTATTTTTAAAAACGGCCCGATTAAGATTTTAGCCAAAATAATATTATTAAGCCTCGAGATCTGGCAAATAGAGGTATAAACCTTGTTGCCACATCTATGAGAAAAATATCCAAGCTTACATAATATTATTTTGGCTAAAATTTTAATCGAGTGGTTTTTATAAATCGAGTTGAATCGGGCTTTTAAGAACACTAGCCCCGATTTATAAATAAGTTGTCACTTCTCTGAAAGAATCTCTTTTATTAATTATAAATTTATCGGAATAATAATACTATCATTCATGATATAAAATGCTTTAATTTTAAAATAGCCGGTCATGCCATTAAAATACTGGAATTGAGGTTAATTTTATTTTGATTGCGAGAAGGGAGTCGAGAGGAAGATTTCCGACTTCATCCTATCATATAAAAGTTATCAATTTTAAATTCCAGTAGACTATAGTGGCTAGAAAATTTCTTCTTTCTTTCTAGCTATTACTGTAATTTAAACTAAAGTTAATGTTACTACCCTATAACAAAACAGTATAGGGTATCAATTCCGCCTTTCAAGAACGAACCAGATGTATTAAAATTGTATGCACTCTTACTAGTATTCTTTAGGGTGCATTCACAGTAGAGCAACAGAGACACGACAAAATACAAATATGTGTAAATACCAATGTCTATTCATAGTGATCTTTTACGACGCGACACGACAATCCCGTTTAGTTTGTCGCATTAAACATAGAAATCAAATTACAAAACCGTTTGTTTTTTCAAAGCGATATAACTACAATATGGCCGAAATAGAAAATTTGCAAGTTTATTTTTGAAATGTTAAAATAATAATGATATATATATATATATATTTTAGAATATTATAAATAAATATTATGTTATTGATATATTTTAAATTTTGTTATGGCTAATAAAGAAGCTTAATCAATTCAATAATGATGCATAGGGTATAAAAATACTTATTTATAGTGGAAATCCATTGCTGCGAAAAATAATATTGAAACAGGTAGAGTACATTAATAAGAAGTATTTTTCTTTTGCAGTAAAGATGGCCAAATCAACATGAAAAAATCTGAGAGATGCTTTATGAGGGAGCATAAACAATCAAAATCTCTCAAGAGTGGGTTAGGGGCTAATCACATTCCCACTTGGCAATTATACGATAACTTGACTTTTCTAATTCCAACCATACAGCTAAGGAAACAGTATACAAACTTGAAAAAAATAAATCCTGTTTTAACTATATTGATGAAGCAAATATTGCTAGGGCAATGTTTGAGCAGATGAGTGGAAATGAAAATTATGAATATGAAGATGGTAAATATACTAATTTTTGTTAAGATATTAATTACATAGATGTTGAAATTATATGTAAAGATTAGTCAAAGTGAATCCACAATTTTAAGGAATGATTGTAATTATATTTTATATAAATAATATTATATATATTTAGCATCACCATCACCTAGCATAGGATCATATATATCTTGCGAGAAATTAAGGGATATTGATCATTCTTACGTTTGAATTAATTCTTTAGTTTTTCCCGAACATTAGGAATATTTTCTTTGTCATCCAACACTTTACCGTATGATAAAAGTCTAGTGATTTTATTGGTTGAATCTCTTTTATGTTTGCTAAATGAAATGGCAAGTTTATTATTATTATTAATTCAAGGAAATTTCTTCAGCTTGGTTGATAGATTTGGTAAATTTAAATCGATTAAAATTTGATTGCATCTTATGATTATTAAATTATTTCAAATGATTTATAATTTTTTATTTTGTCAGGATCATAAACTTTGATATAATAAATATCAGTTTTGCACATTAAACGTGGAATTTTTGATTGTTGCATTGTGTGCTTAGTTCAATTTCAGATCTAATCTAATTTCTATTGGATAATTTATAGGATAGATCAAAATTCTTTTAAAAGTCACTAGAACCAAAAAATGATAACTTTTATATGAAATATGGATCAAGTCCTAAATTTTCTTCCCGACTTCTTTCTCGCAATAGAGATAAATATAAATCAAACTAATTCTAGCATATTACTGGCAATAGCAAGATTAAAGTATCTTATAACATGATAATTTTAATATTCAGATAATTAAAATTAAAAAAAAGAGATATTTTCAAAGAATGGCAACCGACATCTTATACAAAATCGGGGCAAAAATTTTCATGATGTTTTTTTAAAAGAATATAAATTGATAATGTTGAAAAATATATTCTTAAATGACAGTATATTTTTTAAAAAGTATTTGATTATCAAAATATAATATAGGTTTTATATTTAGAATATTAAATAATTTCTCACTAAATTGAGATTTTATACAATTAACAATTATTTTATATATCATGTCAAAAATTCAAATAATGAAAATCAAAATAAATCAAGTAATTTTTTTTATCTAATAAGTAATGATTACAAGTACAATTTAGAATTTTCATATAAAAATTGTCGGTTAAGTATTATAGTGTTCTATTTTGCAGAACGCATTTTTCTGATAAATCAATTCTTAAGTACTATACACTTCCAAACTACAATAGAAATGTTAAAATATAATTTAGAATAATTTATTTGCATTATTACACTGCGATTCTCCTATTTAAAATAAAATAAATATTATTTTTTAATGCTCTCTTAGAAAACTTAAAAAAAATGAATATAAACACTCAGCTCGAGTTATATGAAATGAATAAAGAAATAAACCATCATTGTCCCAGGGTAATCTTTTTCTTCTCCTCCGTTTCTTGGCCCGATCTTCTTCCGGCGGGTAAATTACACCTATTTTGGCGCTACCGGGAAAGCTATCCAAACCGCAGCTAACTGCATACTTATTCAAAATAGAGTCCAAGCTTTGAGGACTGGCTTTAAGATTCCTATAAGAACCAGATGATTTTTGACCTGTATGCATATAGCCGTCGATTTTCATGTCGCTTAAAAAATGAAAAAAAAAAATTATTTCATATTTTAACCAAAAAAAATGATGATATAATTTTAATTAAAAAGAGACAAAATAAAATAAAGAAAAATAAAATTTTTATTGCATTTTTAGAGAAATTTAAAATCAATAAAAAAAAATATATACCTCTCTTATAAAATGATATAAAGGTACAAGTAAAAAACCTAAAATGATATAAAGGTACAAGTAAAAAACCTATTATTGTCATTAGTGTCACTGACCAAATCTGAAAAGGTGTCTCTTGGTTCCACAAAAATAGATTTAACTTTTGTGAGTTCGGTCCACAACCCAGTGTTTTTCCATCTATCTATCAACTTATCCAGGAGTGCATAGGAAGGGAAAAAACACAATATACCGCCTTGCGTCATCTTGGAATGGTCTAAATAATTTTAAATTATAATGTACCTGTCAATAATATTTTCTACAAATTTAATTTTTTTTATCAAGAAAGAGATTTTTAATAAATTATATATTTTTGAGAGAATAAATAGATACCTAGAGTTCCTTCAAATATTCTGAGCAGTAACTGCCCCAATTCGTCTTGAAATACTAGGCTTTGACAGGCCTTGTATACTACCTTCAGTGATTTCCCAGTTAAGGTGGAGCCCAAGCTCCTTATCCATATCCTTTCGGCTGGGATCACGTGGCAAGCCTCGTAGGTATAATCGAAAGCGAGCCCCAGCTCGGTCGTGAAGCTGTGGATGGGAGATAGGGTTCCTTTTTAAATATTAAATACTATTTTTTAGATTATGATTTTAACGGATATCCAAAAATTATATTTTTTCTGCCTACGTTAAGCTATGAATTCTTTTTTAAAAATTGATCCATATTTAAATAAAAACAAAGATTATGTTAATTTTTTTTCTATATCTTTTGGTTTGTTTTAATTTTTTACAAATTTTATATATTAATTATAAATAGATAATAATAATAATTGATAAATGAAATCTCTGATTTTTTTTCGATAGAGAAAGTGATATATCAAAATGGTGGGGTATAAAAAAGGTTATTTAATTAAGATAATAATAATATATCTAATTTGAATCATAGAAAATTTCAAAAAAAATATACAACATATTTTTTTAAATTTTTTATATGGTAATTTTATATTAATTTATTTTACAAAGTGATATTTTTATAACTATTCTTTCATTAATAAGACATGATCATAAACATTAAAATTAATGGAGCATCTTCTAACGGCTAATTGAGGTTTAAAGGATCCCTGTGGTCTGGGTTTAAAATATGACCACCGCTCGACAGGTTTAAAGGTCACCTAGAGAAGGAAGGGCATCCGATTATAAAAAATATCGCTCCAAAATCCCTAATGATTACCAGGTGTGGAAGGGGGGGGGATAACCCAAAATATCCCGTGGACCCTTCAACCGTCTACAACAAAAAGGATGAAAAACCTGGCGGAACCACGATCACTAAAACAAGACATATGAAGGCCATAAACGACAGAGTAGTGTTGTTAATTTGCTTGGTCGTAAAATTTACGACCCTTTTATGTGCTCAGGCCGACCCGGGGTCCAGACTCGGGGTTCAGACCCGGGGTCGTGTCGTGTAACGATTTAATAAACAAGTTGATAATTAAATATTTTTTTATTGTAATAATAATAATCACTGATAGAGGGCGGGTCTAAGGTCTTAGGGGGTCAGGAATAATTTATCAAAACAATATGGGTAAAATATAATCTAAATATTTTTAGATTGAAAGTAATCATTTTTTATCTTGATGGGTATGACTTGGTTTTGGAGGTGGATGGAGGGGGGTGGGAGGAAGGGGGGGGGGTGTGAAAAATAATATTTTTTGATATGGAAAAAAAAATATTTTTTTGTAATAATAATAATGATCACTCATACAGGGCGGGTATAGGTCTTGGGGGGTCAGGTATATTTTTATTAACACAAAATATCGATATGGGTAGTGTTGTTTAATTGGTTGGTTATGTAAATCCCAAACCCGAGGTTTGGGTCTAATAAAATCACTGCGATCTACATTAGCAATATTTATATAAGAAATAAGCCAGCATTAACTCGAACCTTATAAATAATGTTGTTTCAAATATTTTAATTAAAAATTATTTATCAATAATATCGAACTTAAATAGGAAAATCCTGCAAGCAACTCAGCTTATGACTAAAAAATTTTTAATCGGGGCCACTTACTTAGGGCTTGGAAATAATTAAAATGAATTATTATGTAGGTTTGCTCATAGATTATTTCTATACCATCCTGATCTTAGTTCAGAATTAGATACGAACTTTCTGACCGGATTTATTTAATTTCATCAACTAGAATATGAATATTTAATAATATATTTAATTAAAATATAATTTTTATTTTCGGGTTTTTAATAATAAAATTAAGTATCTGTAGCTAATTATTTTAATAAAATACCCTATTTTCTTATGTGATAAAAAAAGTAAATTATATATAAAAACATATTTGTTTTCAATTATAATTTTATTCGTATTCGTAAATATCATCATCATTGTCATCGCTTTTCTTATTAAGTATAATATAATTATAATAACCATATTAAAACTGAAACAGAAAATAAATTATAAAAATGAAATCAGATAATTACTAATTATCTATTAAATTAGTTTTTCAAACTTCAAAGATATGTATGATATAGATCGAATTTCCTTTTCGATATGTCATATAGTATGTGAGTTAAACCCCGGGTCTGTGCTCGGGGTTCGTGCTCAGAGCTGGTTTGGTCGATTATTTAGACCCAAACCCCGGGTCTGGGTTTTACACAACCAACCAATTAACAACACTACGTATGTGAGTTAAAGAGGCTGTGAAATATATTAATCAAAAAACTAGTAATTGCCTCAATTATATATGGATCTTGTTTTGTGTTGTAAATGTTAGATTTAATTTGCATTGGATTTTGTTGTACTTTATATTTAATTTGCATAAAGAATTCTTGTGGATTTATTGTTATAACGCGTGATAAAAATATTATATTTGAATAGTTATGATTATTAGTTATAAGAAGATTGAAAAAGAGTATAAAAAGGCCAATTTTTACCATACAAAGGATCTTTTTTTAATTATTAACTTTTTTGTATTTTATGTTTATTTTACTTTATTTTCTTTTTTTATGATTTTTACTATTATAATTTTGTTAATTTGATGATGTTATAATTTTGAATAAAGAATTAAAGTGGATTTTATGATTTCGTGATTCCTAATTATTATTAATTTCCTTTTTATATATATATTTGTTTTCTATTTTTATATTTAGGTTTTGATGCACAATGACAATCGCCTCATTGTGACAATGGTGTTGGAGAGCGGAGGAGACCGGCCCTTTACAACTTTCAGTCTAATGCAAATCACGCATTGTGACCGGTGGGACAACAAGGAGATGTGTCAAACTGTATTCAAATACAAAAAAAAAATTCCAGAAGAACGTAAGAAAAATATGTAAATAAAGGTGAAAAGGAAAAATTATGTTGTTAAGATTATGTTTAGGTAGAATATAAAATCTAAAATTAAAAACAAAGAATTATATAGGTAACATTCATAGTAGATATGATATAAAGAAGTTTGTGTTTAGTTATTTAAAGGTGATAATTAGGAATTTTATATTTAGAAGTTACTGGTAAACTAAAACCATTTGAATTTTGAAACTAATAGAGACTATGATATTTTAGATTTTAGAATTATTATCAATTGATCACTAGAAATAACTTTGACAAAGAAATAGAAACATAAATTGCGAAAGTTAATATTTAACTAATAGGTTGCTGAGATATAATAATTAAAAAATTCGGTGAATAAGATTAGAATATAACTTTATTGTTAGGAAATAGTTGATTAAATTCTTATTGAAGATTTACGTTTAACTTTTATTTTAAGGGCTGCGAGAGATAAAACAGCCGCAAGGATTAATGTGAATGTAGTATATTAGGTTGTAGATTAACCAAAAATCTTCATAAAGAGAAACGGCTTTCATCATTAGAAAATTTATGCCGCAATCGAGCTCAATTAGAGATCGGATTTTTATTTTTTTTGAATCATAAATAAGATTTGAGATCAATTATGCAACATTATTATAATAATAACAGAAAGAAAAACATGCTTTAGAAATATACATATCAGTTTTCAACAACGGTTGTGCGAAAAATTGTAATGATTAGAGTTCATAAGTTCTTCAAAGACGTGGGGTGAAAACCATAGTGATTAGAGTTAATAGGTTGTTCATAAACGTTAGTATGAAAACTTTTATGATTAGATGTCATTGATTTCTCGACAACGTATGTATGAAAAGAGATTTATATATTTCAGCAGTTTTTTTTTTAAAGACTTGAGTGTCAAAGAGTACATGAGGAAATAATTTTTTTAAAAGATAGATTTTGATATATATTTTAGAATAGAATTTTTAGATATAAATTTAGTATAGACATAGCTGAAAAGAAGATGAGGATCAATAGCTAAAGGATGAGTACAAGTAAATTTTTCAATGAAAATATGGGTCTAGGCTTCATTAAGGGGAGAGGGGTGATAGAATTTGATATATTTATATAATTTATTATAGATATTTTTGCTACGTTTTATAAATTTAAGATTTAGTATAATTTAAGCCAGTTATTAAAGGCAGAATAATGTAGACATTAGGATGAAGTTGGTATATTTATATATTTTATTAGTATATTTGTATTAGGTAGTTTATATTTGAGAATAAATATAAAAAAGTGATAAAATATTTCAGAAGTTATTTAAATAGATTATTTTAGGTAGAAGTAGATTAGAGGTGATTACCCGATATCTCAGCAAGGGCAAACTGTTGTAGAAGACCCGGAAGTCTAAAAGATAGATACGATTACAAGAATTAGAGGCAACAATCAATCGATTACCAGAGAAAGTAGAAAACAAGCGAAGTGATAAAAAGAGGGCCAAGACGTTATGCTGCAATCGTTAATCGCGGACCAATAATAGCCAATTATTACCGAGACTTGAGTCTAAGATACGGAAATCGACAATCATAGGAACAAGAATTCGTGAAAACCATAGTTTATCGTAGACCAATCAATTGTTTATAGAGATAAAGAGCTAATCGTGGATTACCAGAGAATGATAGAAAACAAGCTACGATGAAACTGGATGTCATCGATAATCGTTCATCAAGCGTGGATCGTGGAAAACAGGCGTGTATCAAGTTCGTCAGTGGTCTACAGACATAAAAAGCTGATCATTTCCCAGGGTGACAAGCGACAGAAGATAGAATCCAAAAATTTCAAGCGACAATCGGATACAAACGGTCGTTCGAAACTAAGAATACTAGACAAGAGTCAGCCTTCGTTAGAACTTAGAAGACAGCAAAGATTAAGAAGAATAAGTCGAGATCGAAAGAAGATAGATCATTTGCAGAATGTTGGGTCTAATTTAAGTAGGGAGGTGTTGTAAATGTTAGATTTAATTTGCATAAAGAATTCTTTTGGATTTTGTTGTACTTTATATTTAATTTGCATAAATTCTTGTGGATTTATTGTTATAACTAAAAATATTATATTTGAATAGTTATGATTATTAGTTATAAGAAGATTGAAAAAGAGTATAAAAAGGCCAATTTTTACCATACAAAGGATCTTTTTTTAATTATTAACTTTTTTGTATTTTATGTTTATTTTATTTTATTTTCTTTTTTTATGATTTTTACTATTATAATTTTGTTAATTTGATAATGTTATAATTT